GGGCGTCCCTCGGGGTAGACATTGGCTAAGCAGATCTGATGACACGAGCAAGGCGCTGGTGAGTTATCGCACACCGCCATGCAATTGACCCCCACCACTGGCTCTGGGTGTGCTTCTGTAGCACGTTGAGGCTCCTTGGTCGGGGGAGGGTTGTGTGTTGTCTGCTGTGAAGGCTCGGATTCTGGATGCAGAGCGGCTGGGCGCTTGTTGCCGTTGCATAGATGACATTGCACCTTTGGCCGTGCAGTCTTTGGGCGCGTGCTTAGAAGATTCGCAACGTTTGTAGCAGAATCTGAACTCCCGTAACAAATCCTTCCTTTGGTGCAGAGGTTTCCGTGCAAACGCTTGGCACCTGTTCAGCGAGTGTCGAGAGCTGTGCAAAGGACAAAGCTCAACTCTCTTTGTAGTTGGAGATCTAGATTGGGTTGAGGCTGACGAGTTAGCGGCCAAACTCTTTATGGTTGGGAAGTCGACCTTGGTCTTATGGACAACCATGAAGGCTTTTCCCTTTGCAGTGTGCGTAGGGCCTGTGGATGGCACATAGTTGCTGGTGGATCTTTTTTCAGTTGGAGGACTAACAGCTCTGAGTCTGCGAGTCTGGGGGTTGTTGCACGATGTTGCCTGGTGGGCCACAAATTCTTTGAGAAGGGTAAAGGGGGTACCTTTGTGGTGACCTTTGGCCATGAAGGCCTCAGACAACTGGATCCACTGTTCAATTAGCACCTGCGGTAGTTTTTGAATGATTTTGAGAGGTCAAGTAAAGCAAGGATGGATGCACTACCCCCATCCCGCTCCTGCCAGAGATCATCCAAAAGTGCAACCAATGCCGTTTCTGTCCCAAATCCAGGCCTGAATCCTGACTGGTAGGCGTCAAGATAATTCGTTTCATCCAGAAACCTCTGGAGCTGCTGTGCAACCACCTTCTCAACCACCTTCCCCCAAAAGATCGGAAATGATCCAACCGGGTGGAGTCCAGCGATGGCTTCTTCAGAAGAGGGCGGACCACAGCCTCCTTAAAGCGCTGGGGCACCTTCCCCTCCTGTAGAGAAGCATTAATCACTGCCAGAGTCCACCCGCCTGTCAACTCCTGGGAAGCTTTCACAAGCCAATTTTCAGGGTGTTCTTAAAAAGGGTGGCCTATCTACTATTCTATGCTGGAGATCCACAAGTCTGGGGGTACCTTAATATGTACCATTTGATCCTCCCTCTGTTATATACCGCTTGAATATTCTTAATAGGGTTAACATGGTTTCAGTAAGAAAGTTACAATTTAAAGAACTGAGTACTATATGTTATTAAATCATATTCCTAGAATTTGCAGTGTATCTATTTATGAAGAATTCTGGATCTCCCATGCTCATTTATATATGAAGAATTCTGGATCTCCTGCAAATATGTATTCTTGGGAACAGAAAAAGGCCAGCCTGTCCCAGATACAGGAGTGGCTGCTAGGAAATGGCCCCCTCGGCCTCTGAACTAGCCACGTGTCAACCCAATGGAAGGAGCAGACAATCCCACCTGGCCAAAGGTTTAATAGATAGTTAACAAAAGGAGTTTTCAATGAATTTTCAAATATTTTTTATAATGCTTTATTGAGTTTTTTCCATTTATACATAATATCAATAGTTATTAAACAGTGCTGTGACATTATATATACACTTATGTGTCCTATCAAAACTTACAATACACAATACTTTCATACCCTCTTATCTGTTATATACAATATTTACATTTTCTCTTCTTATATCTATTATCAATCCAAATAAATCAGGTTTCCCATACTGCATTGTATTCTGTGTCTGCTTTCTTTTTTAATTCCATAGTTAATTTAACCATTTCCACACACTCTAATTTTTTTTTGATTAAGCCTTCAGGTGGTATGGAGTTTTTCTTCCAGTACTGAGCATATGAAATTCTTGCTGCTGTTAATATATATAAGATACTTTGTCTTTATGTTACAATTTTTTTAATTATTCCTAAAAGGAATAATTCCAGAACAAAATCAATTTTGTTTTTTGTTAACTCTTCTAACCACGTTCGAATCATTTTCCAGTATTTTTTCGCTCTGGGGCATGTCCACCAAGAATGAAAGAAGGTACCTTGTTATTGTCCACACTTCCAACAATTTGGTTTTAAATTTGGGTAGATCTTAGCCAGTCTTGAGAGTGCCAAATGCCAACAATAGAACATTTTATGTTGGCTTTCCTTATATGCCTTCTATTTTGTTATTTTATAATTCACATTCCAGATCTTTTCCCATTCTTCCAGATCAATAGTATGTCCAACGTTCCTACCCCATGCAATCATCGTTCCTTTCACAATTTCTTCCGCTCTTCCAAATTCTAATAAATGTTTATACAACTTTGATAATAATTTCTCATCTAGGCCAATCAAGATTTTATCTAGTTTTTGTAATTCATTATCTATTCCAAATTCCTCACTGTCTTTTTTTATATCTTGTTTGAATTGCATATAGGTCCACCAATTCAGTTTTATTCCCTGCTCTTCCAATTTCTGTCTACTCTTTAAGTTCCCTTGGTCCTCTAAAATTTCCCTATGCGTGGCTGTTTTCTTAACCTCCATTATATTGGGGTGGATTCAGGGGTGGGATCTGGCAGGGTTAACTACCAGTTCAGTCATTTACGAGGTTTGGTGATTTAGGATGTGCTTCCCTGCAGGCTGCCCGCACGTGCCTGTAAATCGTCATCAGCATGCTGTGTGCAGAGAAGCAGCCTTTCAAAAAGCCCTTTTTTCCTGCTTTTTTAACTGCAGCTGTGCCTTGCACGGCAGCTGAAATTGAAAAAAATCAGGAAATAAAGGTCAGGTAAGAGCCTGGGTGGGCAGGTAGGCAAAAACATCAGCAGACATAGAACCGGTTCTATGTCTGCCGCTCTTCAGAGCTACCAGGTCTACAGAGGTGGACAGAACCGATAGAAACCCACCCCTGGGTGGATTATTGTTTCCAAGGGAGATACCCAATTTGGAATTTTCAAATAATATTTATTCTTTATTTGTCTCCATGATTGTATCAGTACATTTCTTATTTTATGTCTATAGAAGTATAGATACGGTTTGTTTTCTTTATACCACAGGGAGGCACGCCATCCTCTTTGTATGTCATGGTTAATATTCCTTCTATGGTTAATATTCTTTTTTTCCTTAGATTAATCCAATCTTGTATCCATACAAGTATTGCCGCCTTATGGTATAGTTCCCAATCTGGAAGCCCAAGGCCACCTCTGCTCTTACTATCCTATAAATCTTTTAACTTTATTCACACTTTTTTGCCTGCCCAAACAAATTTTAGTTCTCTAAAAAAATTATTGTCTAATTTTGTTGGAATTGTTTGAAATAATATAAAATCTTTGGCAGAACATTCACTTTTATGGTTGCTATTCTTTCTAATAACGATAATTGTCAAGTCCCCCATACTTCCAAATCTTTTTTAATTTGATTGAATAATTTGGTGTAATTGTCTTCTTTTATTGAGGAGCACTTTGCTGTTAACCATGTTCCTAAATATTTACTTTTTTGTGATTTTCAAATATATAGAATCATGGTGTTTTATGTAGCTGTTAATCTGCTTTTTTCTGTATCTAGATAAGCTGTGTCTAGATTCCATATCTAGATCAAAATATTATTGTTTTAAGGCGACGCAACTGAGTTCAAGCAATTATAAAGGAAAGCCACCAGAACCTAACAACCATTTTGCGTAGACCTTTCTGGCAGGATATACAACTTGGGAGGAACCCCCTTGGAATGGTGTGGGAGGAGGAATGGATTTCCAGAGCAAAATTTGCAGACTACAGGAAGCATTTGCACCACTCAAGTGGCCCTGAGGACACAGATAAATCTTCAAGTGCTTCAAAGACCCTCTAAAACAGAGGTCTCCAAACCTGGCAGCTTTAAGACCTGTGGACTTTAAATCTCATGGCTGGCTGGGGGATTCTGAGAATTGAAGTCCACAAAGTTGCCAAGTTTGAAGACCCCCTCCTCTCAAAAGATGCCAATGACCAGCTTTGTCTGCAAGAAATATAAATCCTTCCCTTCCCCACCACCGTCCTGTCAGAGCTGAAGAAGCTTTTGGGATGAGAAGCGAAACGTCTTCCAAAGAAAAAACCAGAAAAAAAAAAGCACCTTTGGGACAACCAGGACCTGGAGGACAGAGAAGTCTCTGCAGACAGTCAGCCCGGCAGGGTTGATCTCATTGTGCATCGGAAAGTTCCGTCTTCACGGATTTCCCAGTTAAACGCCATTTTACTCTTTTTGGTTCCTGCTGCAATAAACCCTTCCCCTGTTTTTTTGTTTTTGTTTTTAATAAAGCAAGTAAAGAAGCAAAAAGCCCTTTTTTCCAATGTGCATTTCTCACGAATTCCATCTTGTTTCAATTTTGTTCAAGCAGCGAAATGATTTTCCTCTTCTTTTTTCCAAGGGGATTGACGTTCCGCGTCAGGCCTTTAAAGTCCACATTTTGATGCCGAGCGTTCAGAGAAGCCTCCGCGGAGCCGAGAAGGCGCTTCGTTCCTCTCGAGCCGTTTTTCTCGGGAGCCTTTGGCCTGCGGGACTGAAGCGCCGCCGCCCGAGCCGCCCGCGGAGCCCGGGCCCTCCGCCCGTCCCGCGCGCTGCCCAGCGGCGAGGCGGGGCCGGCAACGGCTGGAGCTCCGCCCGTCACGGCCTTCTCCGCCCCGCGTAGCGAAGAGACGGGCCGACGCCGGAGGAGGAGGAGGAGGAGGCGGGTGGCGGCGGGCAGCCTCGGCGGCCGGCGGGGAGAGCCTCGCCGATCGCCCGCCGGCCGCGGCTTGCCGGAGCCCAGGTAGGGCGGCCGCGTCCGGGGGAGGAGAGCTGCAGCGGGGCGCTCTCGGGCAGCCGGCCGGCCGCGGCTTGGCTGCTCCGATCCGGTGCTCGCTGGGCCGCAGGGGGAGGCGCTGCCGGTCCGCGGCCCGGGACGTTTCTCCCACCCGCTGCCCTCTTTCCCCTTCTTCCTTCCAGGCGGGTCCGCCGCGGGGCTCCCGCCCGCCCGCCGCCCGAGGGAGCCGAGCCGAGCCGAGCCGAGCCGTGCGGGCCGAGGGCGATGTCGGCGCGGCCGCCGCTGGCCGAGAAGGCGCTGTCCGAGGCTTACGGCCGCCTCCGCTACCGGGACGCCTCGCTGCTCATCTGGCAGCAGCAGCAGCGGCAACTGGAGAGCCGGCCCCCCGCCACCTACCTGAGCCGCAGCCGCAGCGCCTGGTACGCGCAGTACGGCAACCAGGCCATCCTGGTGCGGGACCGGGGCAAGCTGGAGGGCGCCCGCGACACCGGCCAGTCCCGCTTCTGCGCCCTGATGTGACCCGCCGCCTCGCCCGCAACGCGCGGTCTCTGCGCCCGGGAAGCAGCTGGCGGTCCCCTGGACCAGCTTCCGTGCCATGGGGCCCCGCCTCAAGTGGCCGGCTGTTCCGACGGCTGTTCGGGGCCAGAAAGCCTGCCTTCCCGATGGACCAAGGCTCCGGGTGAGGAAGGAGGGGAGCCCAGTGGGGCAGGAGCTCAGCTTCCTCCCTCACTTTAGGGGCTCCCAGCCCGGGGCCTTTTCGGGAAACTGGGAGGGGAAGAAAAGGAGGCCCTTCCCCACATCCCTAAAGTGCCCGGAGCTGGAGTCCACCCACATTGGGTGAGGCAGAGATGGAAAGGTGGGGAAGGCCGAATTCCACACGCAGGACCACGAGGCCAGTCGGGACCCCATTCCCCACCCCAAAGAGGCACCCTGAAGTTTGCTTTGAACCTGGGACAAGGTGGGTGGCGTCGCTTCTTGGGGGACATGCAGATTCTGCGGGACGCTGGGGGAGGGTCTCCTCTGGCTTCCTCCACTGGGCGGGATGGAGCTACTCCAGAGCCCCCTCCCCAGCTTCCTTCTGGGCTCCAGCAGGGTGTTCAGATTCCCGCAGCCTCCAATGGAAGCCCTGGCGTTGCCTCCCTCTCGGCTGCTGGTGTGGGGGTTGCATTGTGGGCCCTCCTCCCGCTTGGGCTTCCTGAAGGCCCGGCTGGCTTCTCTGATGGCGGGGGGCGGCAATTGGAGAGGGTGGGCAAAACCCGCTTGCTGAAATCTGGCCTGAAGGCCTGTTCACCCCGAGGCCTGCCAGGATTTCCTCCAAGGGTTTGGGTAGCAACGTCTCCACATTCTTGGCCTTGGCCACAGCGTTGCTGGAGCCCTGGGCTGCTGCTCCCAATCCCAAGCAGATTTTCGCCCAGCTCCGGACTGCAGGCACGTGGCAAAGCCGTCAGCTGAGCTTGGATGCCGTGTTCATATTGACAGCTGGGAGAAACTGGGCTTACACAGAAATGGAGACACTTGTCCTGGAACCGTCGGTCCCAAGAATGAAAGCAGGCGGCACCAGGAGGCCAAACCCTGTTCCAGGTGACACGGTCGGCTGAGGGCCAGTTCCATGATCTGGGCTTCCCAGACGCATTTCGTTGGCACTGGCACAGTTACGATGCTCGAGGAAACGGCCTCCACTCGGTGCCTTTAACTGTACAGCTCAGCGCATCTGATGGGAGAACCAAGTTTGAATCCCTCCAATTCTGGGCAGCCGGCCTCCTTTGGCCGCTCTTTGCACGTATTTTATCTTGGGCAAACAGTGGTCAGTCCGGCCCTTTCACATTCATTCCGTGATGCCGCAAATGTGATGCCAGTGAGGACCCAGGAGGAGCAAGCTTTGAAGGTGCACCGGACAATGTTGAGCATGTTTCCTTTTAAACTGCATCTGTCAATAAAGTGCATCTGGGCTCTCACTTCTGCTCCCAGGCTTGTTATGGTGTGTCAAGGACAGAAGTGGCACCTGCTCTTAAATGGGTCTTTGTTGCTTTATTTTTTTTTTCCCAACTGTTCTACTTTAAAACAAGATACAGAGAAAAAGACGGACATGGGAGAAGACTAGGAATATACAAATAAAACATGCTTTATCTGGAAGTTACCAATACCTGTAAGTTCAAAGTCTATACAAAAAGAAACCCAAAGAATCCCAAACAATCCCATTCCCCCAAAACTGAATCAACATACAAGGAATAAGCACCAGAACAGGAAACTATCAAAGGTCCATAGCACCTGTTGGTTAAAAAGTCAAAATACATTTAAATTAAAAGGATTCCTAATTTTCTTTTTCAGAGCTTAGTTTTAAAAACAACACAAACCTACATTTTGTCTGCTGCTCTTCAAAACGTAGGATACTTTTTTTTTTTTTTTTAAGTGACCACTGGAGTTAATAAATAAAGTATTTCTATGTACATGAAAAAGGGTAACTCGATTCCGGGTGCGTCGTGGGCAAAGTGCAGGCCTCCAGGGCAGGCTGGAGGGAAAAAAAGCTTCTAAAAAATGGATGAATCTTACAAAAACATCGCTTGCCCACCCCTCCCCTCCCCCAAAGCATATTCTCCCACCATACCTTGAGGTAAAAGTTTTGATTATTTGGAAACCTGCACTCGCACGACACACACGTTCTCCTGGCACGGGGGAGGCCTGGGGGCTGCCAGCTGTCCGGGGGCGCCTTGCCAGGGAAGCTGCCCAATGCCAGGGTGCGGATGGAAGCCCAGGCCCCGCGGGCGGCTGGGAGACCCCGAGCAATGGGGCTCCACCCGAGGCCCGGCCAAGGAGGCGGCTGGGCCACCCCTTGCTAGCCTCCGGGGGCACCCACCGCCCTCAGCAGGGCGGCCACCTCTGAGGAAGTTCTCGCAGCCAGAGCATGAATCTATATATTGATTAAAAAAAGGTAAAAGAAATATCTAAAAAGGTACGCTTTAAAAAACAATCCACAGTACATGAGCTTTTTCCCTCTTATCTATAAAAAAAGATTAGGATCTTCATCTCAGTGGAGAAGGGGGGGGGGGGGGCCGCCGGGGTGGGGGGGGGGGGGGGGTTGGCAGACCAGCAGAAGATTAGAACATTCACGCTGGCCGGCCGGCCGGCCTTGGAGCTCTGGCCTCCCCCCACTGCAGTACCATTCCCCGAGGCTGGGACCCCCACTCCCCTCCTCGTCTTCGGAGAGGATCGGCCCTCAGGCCTGGCCAAAGGAGCCCCCAGGAAGGGCAGAGTCGCCCCCCCCGCCTCCAGGCTCCGGCCACGGCAGGAGCGGGCAGAAGAGTCTCTGTTGATGAGTTCTCCTTCAGCATCTCGACATCTCGGGTTTAAAAAAGGGGTTTAGAGACTTGAAGTGATGCAAATCATTTTGCCCCCAAGTCTAGTCTGGCGCTTGACCTAATCGAAGCAGGAGGAAACTCCGCGGGGAAGAGGACGTCTCTGTAACGCCGAGTCCTTCTGGAAAAGGGCTGCAAAGGAGCGGGAAACGACGCAGACTTGGTCACGAGGGGGGAGAGGAACCGTTAGAAAAATAAAGCCGGGGGACAGAGTCCAGTCCGGGCGGGCCGAGGGTCCCCCCTGGTCATTCGGAGTCGCTGCTGTCGGAGCTGGAGCCGCTGGAGCTGGTGCTCCCCGACTCGGAGCTGCTGCTGCTGCTCAGGTGAGACGGACCGCCGGACGGCGCTGAGGAGCCCGATTTTTCTAGCAAGAAAAGGAAGAGAGGTGAGTGGTCAGCTGAGCCTCGGCTGTTGGCCCCAGCTTTGGCAGGGCGGCTCCCTCCCCAGACCCTCCTGTCCCTTCCTCTCCCCTCCCCTCCCCTCGGGGTCTCGGGCCTGACACCCGTCCCTGCCTTTCTTTGGGCAGCAACCCCCCACCCGGGAAGGGGTCTCAAAGCCCCTGCAGAAAGCAGCCTGGGAGTCTGGCCTCGGAGGTGGAGGGGTTCATACTTGAAAAGACTGGCTCAGTCCTCAGATGGGAGACCCCCAAGAGATCCCAGGGCTGGGAAGCTCAAGAGTTGCAGTTGCAAGTCCAACTTTGATGATTTAACACACGTTAAACAGATGCATCAGTTACACCCAAAAGACAGGTGAGACCAGCCCTGCCCAAAGACTAACACAAGGGTTGGGATGGCGTCTCCAGTGTTGCTCGTAGGCCCACCGAGAGGCCGAGTGGGACAGCCAGGGTGCAGCTGCCATGTGAGAGCCTGCCGGGGAAGAGGGCGGAGGAGACGGGGATGCGAAGCTGAGGGGGAAGCGGGAGATGGACTGTGGAGGCAGCCGCCACAGGAGGGAAGGCCAAATCTGTTAAGGTGTTAAGATTTAAGAACTGACCAGCAGTGAGTAGCTACTAGATGCTGCGGATCTGATGGAAGTCTGGCTGAGGTCACAAGAGGGACTCAGCAGAGTCTGGGTATTTATTTCCCTTTAAGGCTGGAGAGTGAAGACCCCCTTAAGAGGTGTGTATATACGAGGCAGCCATTAGAGGGCTTGGTTCTCTTTCCTCGTGGCCAGTGTTCACTGCAGAAGTTCTCCACGCGTTAGGAAGGAGAAAGCCTGATTGTAAAGGTATTTTGCCACCACGTGTATATTATTTGTATACATATCTGTTGAATATTAAACCACTGTTAACATCTCTGTGTGCTGTGTGTCGCTCCTGGGTAACCTCGTAAAGGTAACCACGCTGCCAAACGCTCTGACAAAATCTTTCCCACTGGAGACAGCAGGAGGAGGAGGAGGAGGCGGTGGCGAGGGAGCGGATTCTGCCCTCCAAACATCCATTCAGAATGGCTCCCCTTCCGGAGCCTGGCATCTTTGCCCCCGCCCTGCTGGCCCCGAGCCTCTCCCGTGGGATCCTCGGCCCCCCCACTTCGACCGTGAAAGGCAGGCGGAAGGGCTGGGCGCCTCTGCTGCCCCCAAGGCTGGCCTGCTCACAGTTTTAGCAAGGGCCTCTTTGACCTCTCTGGGAAGCATCCTGGCACTCCTGCTACCAACACCCGGGCACCACCAGGCAGCCAAGATCGCCTAGCGGGGCTGGCCACGGAAGGGCTGCTTTGCCCTCTTTGGAGACCCCCGAGATGACAGGCAGGTTGAGCCAAGGAATTTTGGGCTTGGGGGGCACCGCTGTGTCCCCCCCCCCCCGAATGGGTGGAATGGAAGCCTAAAAAAATAAATAAAACCTTGGTCCGTGAAGAAAACCTCGAGGGAATGAGCTGCCTGGGGTCCCTCTGCTTCTCATGGGGAGCCCTGCTCCAGAGCGCCCAGCACAGGCCCTCCTGGGAAGGGGCCTGGGGGCCGGACGGCCGGCCCCGCTGGAGCAGAGCTGAAGGAGGGAGGGAGGGAGGGAGGGAGGCGGCCTCCGCTTACCTTTCCTGGCCGGCTTCTTGTTGTTGCTCAGCTGCCCGCTCACGTCCTGCAGGCGCTTCTCCAGCTCCTTCTTCTTCTCCTGAGCCATCTCCTCCTTGGACTTGGCGGCCTGCTTCTTCCCACTCGCGGCTGTGGGGAGAAAAGCAGAGGGGCTCAGAGGGGGGTGGAAGGCGGGATCCCAACTTCCCAGGAGGAAAGGACCAGCATGGCCGGTCAGGTTGCGTTGGCCGAAAGGCTTGCCCGTGGCAGGCGTGGCGTTAGCGTTGGACTCAAGGTGATGCCAGGGCCATGAGAGAGACGGGGGGCCCTGTGAGTGGGGGGCAGTGCCACAAAGGGCAGGGGCCCAGCACTGGGCCCCAGGATTTCACTGATCAGGACAAGGTGAGGCTCCTCGAGCCGTAGAGGCTCCCTCAGGGTCCGCAGGGGCCTTCCTGGGGCCCAGCCTGAGCAGCCAGAAGGAGATCAGGAAGGGCGGGAGCCAGATCCCCCCCCCTTCCACGGGAGCTAAGGGGGGGGGGGGGGCGAGGCCTGCAGGCCGCCCCTTCCACGAAGGAATGCAAATTACAGAGCTCCCCTCCGGAACCCGCCCAACAAGAGAATCCCCCCTTCCCTCCAGACCGGCCCCTCCCTCCTCCTCCTCCTCCCACGGTCAAAGGGGCTCCTTCTTCTCAAGTGGGTCCTTGCCCCCAGCCTCAGGCACATGGGGGTCACGGGTGGAGAGAAGGGGAATGCCAAAGCACCCAGGCTGAATTCCGGACTATCTTGTACAAACCCAGAGGTGACCCTTGGTGGCAAAACAGGTAATGGAACAGTGACGTGGGAAGGAAATGAAGTGCGTGCGACAACCGATCTCCCTACTGATTGCCGTATACACTGCTTGGCCGGCAGAGAGGAAGGCGGCAGCACCAGGGGTCTCCTTGGCAGTTGCTAACCGGTTTGTTAATAACTGACCAGGGACGCTTGTGGTCACTCCAGCCTTAGGCTTCCCTCTTGCCCCAGCACACTCTTCTTCTGGACCTCGCCCCAAACTTCTGAACTTGTGCCCTGTCCAAGCGGGGACCAAAGAGGCCCTGCCATCACTTTGCTGTGGCTGAAACCGCCTCCTGGACTGAGAAGACGGGCCGAGGCCTGGGCCCCGTCTTGAGAGCCTGACGTCTCTTTGGAAGCCCAGCTGTGCCTCCTCTTCCCAAGGGGACCCTGCTGTGGTTGAGTGGGGTGTGCCGAGAGAGGAAAGAACGGCAAGGGCTTGTCCGACCACTTGAGTTCCAGGATGTCTACACCATGTTGGCATTCTTGGACTCTCCGGCGCCCTTAAGCCATGCATCCCCTCGGCTCGCAGTGCCTAGGATTGCAGGAGAGGACTTCCAGGTGCTCCAACCTGGACACCCCAACCTGTAAAGGACTGTTTCAAGCCCTGGTTCCCTCTGCCTTTCCAGGAGGCCCCCACAAGACCCTTGGGATACCCCTGCGCACTCTTAGCTTGACAGGAGGTCAAAGGGGCGAGCAGCTTCCAGAACTGGCCACCCAGCTATCTCAGAGAGGCCAACACGAGGGGGGGAGGGGTGGCCACAGGAAACTCCGCTCCCTTGACTTTAAGGAAGCTGGCAGTCACTGGATCTGGGGCTAACCTAAGTGGACACTGTGATCTTGACGACTGCATGCCCCGGTTGATCTTTGGGAGGTCCAGCATGCTTCCCAAGCCCCACCAGCCACGGAAATGAACTCCCGGGAACTCCTGTCTATAAATCTCTCTTCTTAGAGAGCGAGCAGGTGAGGGTGGAGACTCCGTCTCTGAGCTTGCGGGTTCGTGTCCGAACGTTTCGTTGCCAGGGTAGGTAACTTCTTCAGCGGAATTTAGGGGATGTCAGAGCATCCCTGGCCAGTGGATGTGTCGGTAGCCTTCTCGGTCTGCCCCGAGCAGATGCAAGAGGGTGATGCCAGCCATTGGTTTGGGACACTGTGAAGCCCCCCGTTAACTCAGGATGATGATGGAGAAATAGATGCAGCCGTCTTCCCTTGATGCAACTTAGCTTGGCCTCTCCTCCCAAGGCCCCCCCTTCTCCTTGGGTGGGTAGGGGGGGGGGGGGGGGGCGTATCTGCTCCTGCTTAGTTTAATCCAAATAGTTTCAACACCTTCACCAGGCTGGATTTCGGAGGAAGGCAATGTTCTGTCCCCCCAGTGGAACTCTTTCCTTGCTCCTCCTAACCAACGAAGGCATCCTTCAGCCGCTGCAGCCGCATTATGAGTCTTTTATTAGTATCTGAGTATCATGTCCTCAGAGTATCCCTCTGCTCATCCGAAGAGTCTCCGTTGAGCGATGACGTTTCCCTTCTGATACAAGGAATTCAGGCTCACTTTCCACCGTCTCATGTTTCCAGGGCGCCTTCGAATTACAGCCATTCGTTTTAGTGACTGTTCAAAGTTACAACGGCACTGGAAAAAGTGACTTAGAATCTTAAGAGTAGAGCTGGAAGGGCCCTTGGAGATCTTCTAGTCCAGCCCCCTGCTCAAGCAGGAGACCCTTCACCATCTCAGACAAGTGACTGTCCAGTTTCTTCTTAAAAACCTCCGGCGATGAAGCTGCCACAACTTCTGGAGGGAAGCAGTTCCACGGGTGGATTGTCCACCCTGTGAGGAAGTTTCTCCTCAATTCCAGGTTGCTTCTCTCCCTGAGCAGCTTCCACCCGTTGCTTCTTCTTCCGCTTTTGGGTGCTTTGGAGAATAGCTGAACACACACACACACACACACACAACCCGTTTCTTTGTGGCAGCCCCTCCAATACTGGAACGCTGCTATCCTGTCCCCCCCCCGATTCTCCTTTTCTCTGGACTGGCCGAACCCAAATCCTGCCACCGTCCTTCACGTGGTATTTAGCCTCGTGGCTGCTTTGCACACTCATGACCGTTGCAGCACTCCCACATTTGGGATCCAAATTCGGGCACTTGGGAAGTATTTGGGACAGCCACCTTGTCCCGGGGTCCCTAAGGGGAACACCCTTTCCCAACCCTGCTGACAAGCAGTCAATTTTTTGGGGGGGAGGATTTGCTTAATGACTGCAGTGATTTAACAACCGTGGCAAAAAAAAGGCCGCAAACCGGGGCCAAACTCAACAACGGTCTTCCTTAGGAACAGAAATTTTGGGCTCAGTTGTGGTCGTTAAGTTGAGGACTGTCCGTATTGATTTGCTCCTTTATAGATTTATATCCCACCTTCCGGAGCTCAAGGCACGGCCCAGGATGCTCCCTCGGCAGCCACCTGCGAGGTGGGGCGGGTGAAGGCGGGTGGCTGGCCCGAAGCGTCCCAGGGGCTGAGGTGGGCCTGGGTCTCCTCAGCGCCTTCCCCTCTGAACCCATGCACCAGTGGGGGTTTCTCAGGAGGCCCCCGCCCTTCCTGAGCTCTCACGCAGGGGCTTCAAAATCCCGATCCTACCGTCTTCCACTTTGCCACTGGTGGTCTCAACTCCCAGAATTCCTCAGCCAGCTGGCTGAGGAATTCTGGGAGTTGAAGTCCACCCGTCGTAAAGTTGCCACGGCTGGAGACCCCTATGCTAGACAACAGAAGCCTCCTTGGAGGTTCTCACGTTAGTGTCTTCGTCCCCTGTTCCAACAGGCGTAGTTTAGTCCTTGCCAGATGCAGCCATCCTCGTGCCGGCAGTCCATAATCCAGGGGAGGGTCCCAGAATAGCCCACCGTTCACCTTTTGGGTTCCCTTGAAGGAAAATGGCGGGCCAGAATCCCACTCAGGCGCCCGGCTCTTGGCTGCTTCCTAGCCCTTCAGAGTGCAGCCACTGCAGCTGGTCCTGCCAAGGCCTGAGGGGATGTCCAGCCCCCCCTCCCCCTCCCAGCTCTGGCCTGCAGCCGCCTCGCTCTCTCTTCAGCACCCCCTCTGCTCTTCGGGGACCCCCTGTTCTGCCCCCTTCCTCTTCTGTGGCAACCTGGAAGCCGCTTCTGAGCTCCGGCAGTGCAGGATCTCTCTTCTGCCTCCTACGTTGGGCTGGTTTGCTTAATTTTCCTCCTGGGGGAGAAAGAGGGGCTTCGTCTGAAGTTCCGGCTGTAGCACTTCCCTTCTTTAAATCTGAAACTTTGACCTTTTCTTCTCAGGCTAGTCCTCTGGGCTCCTCGGCCTCTTTCCCAAGCAACGCCCTAAGCTGGGCCCTGCTGCAAAAACCAGGAACGCCACCAGCCCCCAAGCACCGCAGGCCACAGAGACGGAGACCCTGGCTGCCTTCTCCCTCCCAGAGAAATGGCTGCCTTTCGTCCTCCCTGTACGGCTCCACTACAGGGAACCTGGCCTGACTCCTGCTGAGTCCCCCCGACAGAGGCTGGGTGCTTTCATGGTCTTCTTAAGGACGACCTTCAGACAAAGATTCAGGCTCAGTTGCATCTGGTAAATTGGCATTCATCTGTAATTTAATCGTGGGAGAAGGAGCAACCTGACTACCTTAGTATGAAGGAGTGACCTGGGGACGGGTGGGGGGGAGAGTGACTAGGGGAACAATTGGGGAAGGAGAGGAGGGGCTGCCCAGTGGACAGAGAATGAAGTCTAGAAAGGATCCTCCCTAAATTATTAGGGCAGAAAAAGAGACAGCAGGTAACTTGCCCTTTCCAGCTTCCATCAATGCAGCCCTACAATCAAGCAGAACCGGCTCATCTGCTCCCGTTTCCCAGGTGGTCTACCTGAAAAGGCCAGGAATGACACACAACGGTGGGAAGGAAACCAGAACGGCGAGCTCTCGAGGGCAGCTGAGACCAGGAGGGTCTCCTCTTCTGGCCTTGGCCTTCTTCTCAATACCCATCGCCGGGGCAGCAACCAGGCCCACAAGATCCCGGCTGAAAAGAGGCGCAACAGGGAAGTGGCGGTGCCCTCCCCCCCCCCGCAAACCACCTGCCCTTGCAAAGGACTCTCCCACCTGGGTCAGGGAGGGGACTGAAGCCCCCCTCCACCCCGCAGCAGGCAGGAAACCCTGGGAGGGCTCCACAGGTCTGGGCTGGTTGTTGGGGCAGAAAAGTCACCTGAATGCTGGCCGAGACCAGCTGAAAGGCACCCCATCCTCAGAGCGGGGGGGGGGGGGGGGGGCACGATGAAGCGGTAGATCAGTCTAAGTCCCTCCCTCCCTCCCTCCCCTCTTTCCTTCCTTCCATAACTGCCCACTGCCAGGAGTTTGATCCTGACTGGCTCAAGGTTGGCTCAGCCTTCCATTCTTCCAAGGACCCAAATTGTTGGAGGCAAGAGGCTGACTCTGTAAATACCGCTTAGAGAGGGCTGTACAATCACTGTGAAGCAGCATATAAGTCTAAGGGTGATTGCTATCATCTCTCTCTCTCTTCTATCTACCTATCTATCCATCCATCCATCAGCTGAGATGCAGCAATGGTCAGAAGGCAGCATTGCAGGCTAATTCTGCCCACAGCCAGCAGTTTGATTCTCACCAGCTCCAGGTTGACTCAGCTTTCCGTCCTTCCAGGATGAGTAAAATGAGGACCCAGATTGTTGGGGGCAAAAAGCTGAATGCGTAAACCGCTCAGAGAGGGCCGTAAAATCACTCTGAAGCAGGATAGAAGCCTAAGGGCTATTGCTTTAAATAGATGAACCGTTTCGGGGCTCGGAAAACTACAAAGTTGGGCTGTTGGGATTTCCCCCTTGTCCAACCGAAATGGCCCCACAAGAAGCCGGCCTTTCCTTCGTTTCCTCGACCCCCGGGGGGCTCCTTCTCTGGCGCTCCAGCCTTAAGAGGGACCCGGGGAAGTGGCCCCACTGGTTCTACAGCCCGAGGGACCCCACTTACAAAATGGCTTCCGCTGCTTTTTCTGCAAGCAAGACTTGACGTATCTCTCGAGTTCCCGCAACGTGGTGGGCTTCAAGGTTTCAAAATCGATCTCGATCTCGTCGGGATTGGAGTCCCTGAGGGAGGGCTCCCGCGACTGGATGATGTGCACCACCCGGCCCAGCTTCTCCCCCGGCAGGCGGTTGATGTCCAGGCTGAGCTGGCGCTTCTCGTCATAGGTCATGGGGAGGCCCTCTTCCTCCTCCTCCGAGTCGAAGGTGGCTGAGGCCTGCTTCCCGGCCTTCTTCGGCTGCCTGCAGGCAGGAGGGGAGCGGTCAGGGGCTGCAGCTACAAGCCCACCCGGCCAGGCCCCCTCTGGAGCCTCCCGCCACCCCACCCCCAGCCCGGCAGCCCAAGAGGACGGGCCGACCCTCGGCAGGGAGCCCACTGCCAGGGATCCAGAGGGAGGGCTGGGCAAAGGGGCTCCAGGCACCCAGGGGCCCCTCAGCGCAGCCCTGCCAGAAACGCCACTGTCCTTTGGGCACCCCTTTCCGCTTTGCGTTGGCCAGCCGTGCGACTTCCTCCTCCTCCCTCGCCCACTACCACTCCAGTCTTGCCCCGACAAGCTTCGGCCCCGTCCTGGAGCCCCTACCTGTTAACGGGAACTGTGCTGTTGGCCTTCTTGGCGGGCGCTTTCTTCTGCTGGGGGGCTTTTGCTGGCGGGGCCGCCTTGGCTTTCTTCTCCTCCTCGGCTTTTGCCTTGTGCTTCTCCTTCTCCTTCTCTTTCTTTTTCTTCTCTTTCTCTTTCTTCTCCTTCTTCTTCTTTGGCTTGTTCACTGGTGCTTGCGAGAGGGCAGCCAGCTGCTCGTGGACGGCCTTCAGCTGAGAGGGAAGCGGAGGAGAAAAGCTCAGCTGACCCCTGGTGCCCTCAGCCCCACTCAACCCCTGGCAAAGACGGACGCCTGGTGAGAGGGTGGGGGCGGCAGCAACGGTTCCCCCATGCCCCCGGCTGCCCTTGGCTTTAGGCGGGCCGGCCCGCTCAGGGCTGCGAAAAGTGGATGGGACCAGCAGTTCCCAGCCTTCCAGGCTGCCGGGCCCGGTGCCTTGGCCCAGAGCCCCAGCCCAGGCTGCCAGGGACGGGCACGAGCTGCTTCCTTTAATGGGCTGCCTGCATGAGGCTTTCCCGCTGGGCCACGGCACGGCTTACTTGCTGGAGACGGGCACTGCCAGGGCACCTGGCTTCAACCTGACCTGGGCTAACCACACAGGATGGGAGCCAAGAGGCAAGCGGGGGCCGTGGGAATGTTTTGCTTCCTCTCGTTTATTTCCAAGTGGTTACTGGTCGTTTGTATCTTGGTTTTGATTTGTTTTGCTGGATTTGCAGTTTTCTAACTCTCGTGAGGTGCCCGGAATCACTTAGGTGAGATGGGTGGCCGTGCAGATCAAATATAAATAAGTTTAAGCAAATTCAAATCCAATCTAGCCGAAAAGGATCCTCTCCCACCAAGGATGGCCTCCTCCGGCCATGGTTGGCCCGGGACGCCTGCAGCATACAGAGGCAGCCCGCTGGGGATGCCCACTGTGCAGCCGGCCGGGAGCAGAGAGTCAGGCGGAAGAGACGAGCCAGCCTTGGCTCCGTGGAGCCTCCTCCTCCTCCTCCTCCACCCAGAGAAGAAGGGGAAAGGCAGGGGCCACGGGGAGGGGGAGGCCCCCGCAGGCCCACCGATCCCACCGCCTGCGGCAGAAGATCCAGCGCGGGGGTGCCAACCTTCTCCTCTTTCGGCCCCTGGGCGCTTTCAGGGCCACAAAGGGGCATCAGGCTAGTGGAACCAGGGAGGGCCACAGCCACGGCTTCTGCAATTAAAGGGAGCCGGGTTCAAATCCTCGCTCAGCAGTGGTACTCCCCGGCAGCTTTGGCAAGCTGTCCCCTTGGCCTACCTGACCAGGCTGCGTGCAGACGCCGCAGTCCGTGTCGACCCCCAGGAGGAGAAGGGGGCCCTCTGGGGGCTTCTGCCCTTCTGGTTCCCTTGGCCCCTCCCCCCGGGGTCTCCCAGCAAGGGCTCTTCAGCACGCCCCCCCGCCCCCCAAACGAAGATCCAGCCTCCACATTGCCAGGCCCCGTCCCTTTGGAGCCACCTATTCCTTTGCTTTGGTTTTAATTCAGCCCAACTCGTAAAGTCTGGATGGCACAAAAACCGAAAAATAAAACAGGCGCTGCTACACACTGTGTATATCAGGGGTGTCAAACTCAGGGCCCGCAAGGTGCTTAGACCTGGCCCATGGGGCCCCCTGGAAACAGCCAAGGATGGGCCCCAGGTGCCTCTGCCGGTGAAGACGGACCTCGGGAGGGCCACACGGGGCCCCGTTTTCGACAGCATCAGCCTCCTGCGGCCCTCTGCCAGTGAAGACGGAGCTCAGGGGTCGCGTTTTCGCAGCAGGCCGTTGCGGCCAAAAACGGGGCCTGGGCGGGGGGGGGGGGGGCAGAGGGCTATCGAAACAAACTAAGAAGAGAAATGCTTCCCCAGTTGCCTTTGAGCGTGCAAGAAGGGCCAGGAAAGGGGAAAGGGGAAAAGAAGTAAAGAGGGGAAGGAAGAAGAAAGGAGAAGGGAGAGAGAAGGAAAAAGAAGAAAAGGAAGGAAGATTATAATGAGAATGAGGAAGGGTCTCAGGGAAGAAGCCCTGCCTTAGCGCTTGGCCATCACAGGTGCCCCCCCCCCAAACACGAGTGACGTTGAGCTGGCCACGCCCATCCTGACCACGCCCCCCGCCCCGCCCCCCCAGGTCAAACACAACCCCGATGCAGCCTTCAAGGAAGTCGGGTCTGACAGCTGGCTGCCTCTGAGTGGTTCCAAGAAAGACAAGGCAATTCTGAGGCATGGGGGAGAGAAGGAGCGTGGCTGTTTATTCCCCACATTCCTGAGGACTAGACACTTGTCCAGTGAAAACTAAAGCAAATTCTCAGAAAACCCCGTGGCCAGGGGCGGCCCCCCTCCAGGGGCAAAAGCAGCATTCACCCCCACAGGGCGCCCCCCCCCCCCCCCCCCCGAGGAAGGCTGCAACTAGGGAGGGTCTGCCCTCGTGAGCCCTTCCCAGGCGGCCCAGGGGTTGTTCGCTCGGGGGCAGATCTCTCCTGCGGGGCAGGGAAGACCCCCACCTGCCCGGAGCAGCCCCACTCGCCCTGCCGGCTTTGCCAGCCCCACACCTGGCCCGTCCCGTGGGGGCACTTCCAATCCCCAGCACAGCTGCCCCCCCCCGACAGGCGGGATTCCGGAAAGAGCCGCTGGAGGGCCAGGAAGAGAAGAGCCCCCCTGCCCCCCCCCGCCTGCCTTCCATCTACACCCCCCCCACACACAAGCCCTCCTGGGCCAGCACTGACTGCTGGGATGAAGCGTTTCTGGAAAGGCCTGGCGACCTGCGCACCTCCACTCACAGGACAGGAGGGGAAAGCACTTTATAAAAGGGGGGGGGGGGGGGGGGGGGGGGGGAAAAAAAAAATAAGCCAATACATTCCATCCATTCCAGTCTCGGGAGTCAATGACCTTGTAGCACTGCCTCAATGATCGGGAACGGTCCTGTGTGAACAAGAAGACAGGCAGGGAAGCAAATTGGGTGTCCAGGCCCCACCCTGAGTCCGGGGGGGAGGGAAGGGGGAGCGGGGAGGAGATCATCCACAGAACCTCCGGCTCTCTGGGACGCTTTGGGCCTCGGCTCTCTAGTCGTCGCTGCTGGGACCGAGGGCAGTTCCTTCCCTACGACCGGTCGCAGAGTGGGCACCGAGTTGTTCTGTGCAACCACCACCGGGGAGCCCGGCGGGTTCCTGCTTGCCTCTCTTCGCGCTTTGGGCCCTGCCTTTTCCGGCTGCCTCACCGTCCTTCTTAGCAACCGGGGGGGTGCTTTTTTTTTTTTTTTCTCTTTAATCAGGAAAGCGGGACCTTCTGGTCCGTCCAGAGGAGCAGGCCAGGGGGAGCCTCCGCAGGGCCCCGGCCGAGGCTCCCCGCACCGCTCCAGAGGCCGGCTGCCACCCACCTGCTCCTGCAGCTCGGCCAGCCGCGTGGCCCGCTCCTCTTCCGAGTCCGAGCTGTCCGAGTCCGAGGAGCTCCCCTCCTCGCTGCTGTGGCTGCTCTCCGTGCTTTTGCTGACCACGGGGGCGGGGGGCAGGGCGGGCGGTGGGGGGTCGGCAGGCTCGTCCGGCATCTTGGCAAACCGCATCTCAAAGACGTCCTGCGGGAACAGCCGGGTTGGGAGGGGGGGGCCAAGGTGCCCCCAGAGCGAGAGAGGCGCCCCACCCCCACGCTGACTGGGGGACCCCACAGGGCGGCTTGGGACCCCCATCAGAACGGCCACCTAGCCCTGGAAACGAGGGAACCTCCCTGGGAGAGGCAGGACCAACAACCGCCCCGCTCCCCAGGGCAGGTGCCAAGTCTGGGCCCGCTGCCCCAGGACTCTTACGGCCCCCTCTGAAAACGCCGGGCGTCCTTCAGCTACCAAGACCAACTGGCCCATCCTCCACTGCAGGAGGGGAAGGAATTGCGATGGCAAAACGGAGGGCAGCCAGCCAAGTGGCCCCTTCCCTTGACCCCGAGGCCGCGAAGGAGGCAGGGGCTGAGGAAGACCCCCTGCCCGGATTAAAGGCAGCTCCTTTGAACAGTAAAGGCAACTTTGACTCAAAGGACGAGCGGAACAAATATGGCAGCATACCTTATAATTTAGCAATCTGTGTGAAAACCTGCATCACTGTACACGATTATCCAACTCTGTGTACAACATACACGCTATTTACAGACTTTCTTGTTTTGGGGGAACTTTTTGGAGCTTTGAAACTGCAGGACCCACGCATTTTATGGATAACACAGCCAGGATCAGGGGAGCCTGACAGAAGTTCCGGGGTGACCCAAGAGCTCCAGGCACACTTTCCTCAGGCAAATCGCCACGGAAGCCTGAAGCCATGAAAACCTTTCCCCCTGAGGACCAGCCCCGCCTGTCATTTACTCCAGGGTGGAGGGAATCCAGAGCAGTTGGTCTCCCTTGCGAGAACTGCTTGTCAGGCCTTGTGAACGTTTTGTGACCACAGTTACGAGCCTCTGGGGTGGAGGCTGCACGGAGCAGGAGAGGCCCCGAGGCCCCAGCCCCAGAGCCTTGACTCCTGCAGGGACCTCCGGGGCAACCCTAAGGCAGCAGGAGAGAAGGGAGACGGAGAGCTTGCTAGGGGGGCAGCATCTCTGCTGGGCTCCTGCTGGTTCTGGACCGGCCCCCTTGCAAACAGGGGCAGGACCGGCCGAATCCGGCCACACAAGCCCTTCGCTGACCCCCACAGACCCACTGCTGGCGACGGGGGCTGCTCTGCTTCAAATCCAGCCCTCCCCGCTTCTTTTCCCCCCCTGCCTGGCAGGGAGCCCCCTTACCTGCAGCTTCCTAGCCATGGCCACCACCTCGTGGTCAGGCGGATTGTACTTGTAACAATTGGAGAACATTAACCGGATGTCTGCTGCGAAGCCTTGGGCGTCCTGATATTCCCGGCTGTCCATTTTTTTCTGCAGAGGAGCCCAGAAAGGGGGCAGGATTAGACGGGGAGGGGTGAGGAGGGAAAACCCCCCTCAGGAGAGACCGAGGAGCCAGGCCACTCGAGGACCGACGTCCAAGGAAACCGCTGGGCAGGAAAATGCCCCCGAAGCCGTGCTGGTCACCTACCTACCTTCCTACCCTCCACCCCGCTTGAGAAGCCCCCAACAGAGCAGCCTGGGTGGGGCAGAGGGGGCAATCCCCCTCCAGGCACAGATTCCTGAGCGGTACAGAGCACGGGGCCCGGCCGGAGTGGAGGGGACGCCTCAAGGCAGAGAGCGGGGGAGGGCACCAGTCAGGGCCCCCAAACTCGCTGCAGCAGCCCCACCTCCCAACGCAAATCCCAGGCCCCGGTCCAAAGCTCAGAATGGCAACGGACCTGCCCTCTGGCAGGGCTTCCAAGGCAGCCCGCCTTGTGGGTGGGTGGCAAGCAGACCCTCCCTCGCTGCCCGCTGAGCCCGTCGGGGGCAGGGCACGGGGGAGGAGGGGTTCTGCCTTCCCTGCGGGCCGAGGGGCCCACTGGGGCAGCAGCAACACGCAGCAGGAGCCTTTGGAGGTCCTTTGGGACTCCGCTCCCTGCTCCTCTCCCGGATGGATTACTCTAAGACTGCCCTACCTGGGGCGGCCCTTGAAAAGCATCCGGGGGCAGGGGAGCCTTTTGCTCGTGCAAAATAGGGCGGGGAGGGCGGCTAAGTGCTCCCCCCCCCCGAGACCAGCACATCAGCTACCCCTCTGTTCCGCGAACTACGTTGGCTGTCAGTTTGCCTCCGGCTTCAAGGGGCTGGGCGTGGCCTCTAAGGCCCCAGGGCCCTCAGTCCAGGTGATCCCACCAGCCCCCTCAGAGGCACTCCAGCGGGGAGAGCTTCTGCCGCCCTGGCACAGACCCCCTGGAGGGGAGGGGGAGGCCGACCTCTTGGGAAGGACCTGGCGCCTCTTGGCCCGGGCTCCGGTGCTCTCCCTCGCGATGACGACCTTGGTTTAAAGGGTGTTCCACTTTACTGCTCTTACTATATACTTCATTGCTATATATTTATTTTCCACTTTACTTATACAACTTTGAACACCTTTTGTTGTTGTTTCCTTTTGCCCTACGAGTGAGACGGGCATATAAATCCAAATCCACAGTAATAAATAAAGCCACAACAGACCGGGCAACCGGGGCTTCTCCTCCCAAGCTGCCGGGCAGGGCAGCCCCCCTGCCAAGCCCTCCCGGCCCTCCTCCTGGAGGAAGGTGAGGCAGAGAGGAGCTGGCCTGGCTCCTTCCCTCCTCTTGACCTTGACCCAGCCACTCCTCCTTCCAGGTCTCCTCAGGAGAGGGACAGAGCAGACACTGGCTGGCAGCGGCGACCGTCTTTCCTCAAAAATAAGACCTGTCTTATATTTTTTTTGCCACTAAAAAGGCACCAGGCCTTCTTGTTGTCCACGGACTCACCTCCCTTGCGTGCATCACCCCAGCCTCCTTTGCGCTGTGTCAGAGGCCTTCAGGAAGTCCTTTGCCCAGCAAGGCTTTCCTGGAGGCCCCTGTGGATCGATCCAGAGCTCCGTTATCGGCTACAGAGGCCTTCAGGAAAGCCCTGCCAGCTGCAGAAGAAATGGGCCCATGTGCGTGAGGCCTGGCTGCAACTGTCCAAAGGCAACTAGCGGGGCAGATTCCCCGCCATCCTTTTTTTTTTTAACCCGTGCACCCTGGAGTGGGCGGGGTCTTAATTAGGGCTTGTATTGGGTGAACCTGTAAAAATCAAGCTAGGACTTTTGGAGTAGATCCTATTTTCGGGGAAACACCTGGCTGAGGGAGTCTGGCCAGACGGGCCCGATCCAACTTGCCGGGGTGGCACCTGCTTCTGGTTTTTATCTCGGGTGGCGGTCTGGAGTTGGGGAATGGTACCCTTCCGTGCAATTGCCACAGGTGGATCGTGTCCTCCTGGCTCTGGAGTTCTCTGGGGCTGCCCCCCCGCCCTCCCCTCGCAGGGAGGTAGGGCCCATTCGACCCAGAAGCCCCAAGAGGGATGTTCTGGTTTGTCTGAGCTTAGAACAATCATGGGACGGGGCAGCCCTCGGGCATGTTCTCCGCTCCGGGAGAGGAAGAGACTGGCAGAACGCAGCTCTGGGGGAGGCACAGGGCCGGGGGGGGGTGTTCTCCCCCTGTAACCATTTGTCTCATGACTCTGATTCAAAGTTATGGCGCCTTGCACTTCCAACCATCCCAGCGTCTCAATTCGGGCTCTTGGTAACTAACAAGTACTTACAAATGGTGGTAAGCATCCTGAGATCACGTGACTGACTTCCCACCAGAAAATGCCAACGGGGGAGACCAGAGTCCGCTTAACAATCGCACGTTTTACCAAACAACCATTTGCTAAAGGGCCAAGGGAAAAAGGCTATAAAACCAGACATGATTTTACAGCCTACTTAAAGACTGTCTCACTTAGGGACAGAATTTCCAGTCCCAGCTGTGATCCAACTGCCTGTATCTGACTAACCCTGTATGCTCCCGAAGTGCCACCTGCCACAGGAGTCACCTGTAGAGGGAAGGAAGGGCAGCTCTTTCCAGCTCTGGTGGGCAAACCTTCAGCCGAGACGCTCAGGGGCTTGGCTGAAACCCAGAGGGGCCGAAAGGTGACCTACTTTGACGGTGCTGAGGTCCATGGGGTGCTTGATGATGTCATGGTAGTCGTGCAGCTCCAGGGCCTCGGCGTCCACCGGCTTGTAGAAGGGCCAGGCGTAGGCTGCGTGCTTCTTGGAGAGCATCTCCTTCAGGATGCTGTCGCAGTACTTGAGGTGCTCCGAGAGCTTGCCCTTCTTGCCCGCGTGCTGGGGCACCTCCCCGTCTTCCAGGTCCTTCTTTGGCGGTTTGATGGGCCGGCCACCGCTTTCCCGCCGAGCCACCACTTTGGCCTGCTTTGAGTCCAACAGCTGTGGGGGAGATTCGCTCCGGCTGGCCGTGATGGCCGACGTGGTGGGCGTGGTGGTATCCGCTTTCCGCTTCACCCCCTTTTTCTGAAATTCAAACACAGCTCTTAAGGAGGGGGGCAGGTGGAGAAGAGAAGAGCCCCCCAAGAAGGAGGGTCGGCGCCAGAAAGATGGCGGCATCACCCTGGCCTGAGGCCAGAAACAGACCAACCTCTGCCAGGAAGGGGTAGTGGGGGAAGCAGCCCCCCAGCCCCACCCCTGCCCTGGAGGAGGGGGGAGGCCCCCATTACCTTGACGATGGGCGGTGTTGGCGGAACAACAGCCATGATTGGGGCAGCAGGTGGGGGGGGAGGCAGCACGGGTGTCGCAGGGGGGGCAGCGATGGGGGTGACGTTCGCAGTGATGGTTGGCACAGGCGTGACGGCAATTACGGGCGTCTGAGATACCGATGGAAGGACGTTCTGGAAGGGCGCCGGGGGGGACGCGGAGGAGACGGCCGTGGCTGCTGGGTGCTGGGTCCCTGCCGGGAGGAAAGCAAGGACGTCGAGAGGAAAGCCGGGCAGATCCAGCTTTTCTTTGCTGTGGAATGGATGGCATGGGAATTCTCCCCCCACCCCCCCCATCAACTCAGAAAAATTGTATTATATTACAGACACTTACAAAATTAAAAACAGCAAAGAATACAAATACAAAAAGGGGAATGAAAAGTAACGCAAATGTAAAAACACCGTGAAGAATTCAATGACTCACAAGCCGATGCATAAACTAAGAAGTTCAGGCTGGAAAATACATCCCCCAAATTGGGATTGGCTTATCTGCAAATGGGCTCATCTTCGAATATATACGTGATCCTCTTTTAAAAATAGCCACACATACTTACAGCTGTGTGAAAAAGTCCCGCACGCTTTACGGCTTACGACATTTTTTGGATAGGCCATTGATTTTATGATATTTTATGCTAAGTGCTATGCAAATATTGTTATAGTTAAATAAATACTGGTGGTTTTTAAGTGAAAAGCATAAGCCTTCTGCAATTTGGTGCTGTTTGGATGAGGATTGTGAATTTTCTTGCATGCCTACAATGACTAGGAAAACAGATTACCTGATGCATCATACCCGGTGGCAGATGTATTGCAATGACTAAGGCCGATGCTAGTGTTTTGTTAACATTTTTATTGTTTGTGGCCCTGAAAAGGACAGTTCAGGTAACCAAACATGGTTGCTAATATGAAATTGGCCCGCCCTTATTGCTTATCACCAGGCGGCATCGCTTCGGCATAGACTGTATACGCCTTTGTACGTGATCTTTGGTGAGAGTGTGGTGCCAGGCTGCAGTAATGGATCCAATCAGCTCCTGCTTGGTCTTCGGATGCTTCTTGCTTATTTTGTAACCAATCTTGGCTCACAAGTTCTCAATTGGGTTCAAATCTGGGCTCTGAGCTGGCCAATCCAGGAGTCAAACAAAATGCTTCTTCATCCACTGCTGGACGGACTTGGCTCGATGACAAGGAGCGTTGTCGTCCTGGAAGTAAAAGTCCTTCCCTGCACGTTGTTGAGCTGAAGAGAGCATGGCCTTTCCCAGGACTTCAACATACGGCTCGGAATTCATGATTCCCTGCACGGCTTGTATCCGACCAATACCAGAAGCAGCAATACAGCCCCAGATCTCATCACGTGCAATGGATGCTTCACAGATAGATTCAGGCAGCATGGCCTAAATTCTTCAGCTGGAAAACTTCTGACACACTTATTGCACTGATTCCCAGTCAAGCAGAAATTGCTCTCGTCACTGAAGATGACCTCAGCCTATTGTTTGTTGGTCCACTTGGCATACTGTATAGTCTATGCCGAAGCGATGCCGCCTGGTGATAAGCAATAAGGGCTGGCCAATTTCATATTAGCAAACATGTTTGGTTACCTAAACGGTCCTTTTCAGGGCCACAAACAATAAAAATGTTAACAAAACACTAGCATCGGCCTTAGTCATTGTAATACATCTGCCACTGGGTATGATGCATCAGGTAATCTGTTTTCCTAGTCATTGTAGGCATGCATCGCAAGCATGCAAGAAAATTCACAATCCCTATCTAAACAGCACCAAATTGCAAAAAGCTTATGCTTTTCACTTAAAACCACCAGTATTTATTTAAATATAACAATATTTGCATAGCACTTAGCATAAAATATCATAAAATCAATGGCCTATCCAAAAAACGCCATAAACCGTAAACTGTAAAGTGTTCGGGACTTTTTCACACAGCTGTATGGATAAACGGAACCAAAATGCCATAAACAGTGCCACCCCACAGATATGCTCATGGCAAAAATTTAAAACAGAATCTATTCTGGAAAACAACATTTAAGAATGCAAAATATGAAAACAATTAAAGTCCTTCAGAATGTATTGAAAACAACAAATTTCGAGGATCAGTTTATCTGAAGGTAGCACATTTTTAGGGTATTTTGGTTAAAAATTTGAGTGTCAGTTTATCTGCGAGTATATACAGAACATTCATGCTCTAGTTTTAATGTTTAATACTAAGCATTAGAAAGTTTTGCTTCTCCTATTTAATATGAAGTATCAGATTTTTTTTGCTTATATCTAAGCCATTTCATCTGTTTTTAATTAATCTGTCTCTAAGTTACTCACCTTTTCAACGAGTAGATAATTTCTCATTTTACATTAATACAAGTTATCACTACCTTCCATAACTATTTATATTCACCAGAGAAGACGTTCTAATTTCTCAGGATTCTTTTGATATCTTTATGAAAAGTAGTTTACTACATGCTTTTTTTAAAGAAGTGTGACGGGTAACATAGACTTATGTAATATGACTATGGCATTTTGCATATAAAGTCTTTCTGTATAACCATGCTATTATCTACTAACGATCGAACTTCATCTTAATTATTGTACTTTATTTCCCGAGTATTTTGTAGGAGTTCAGGCAGAACTGGGGAGGTAGAGTTAAGTACATCATCAGTTTAGAGTCACTGCATTCCCACAGGTGCTCTTGCTGGATTCCACTGACCCTTATCTAGTGCCAATTTAGTGAATTTTAGCTGATCAGCCAATCTTGTCTATGGGCTTGAATAAATCTTCTATGCTGCAATTTTACTGAATGGTCCGGATTCTTTGAGCCTGACATCAATCCGCTTAACTCTGCCTCCCAGCTCTATCTGTTGTTCTTCTACATATTTCTTTTAAAATTAATCACTATATGGCAGTCAGTACTTCCTATTTCCTTTCCATAATGCAATAGGGAATATATATATATATATATCCCAATCTTAAGATGAATGGGGAAGCGCAGTCTTCCTCCCTGACCTGGGTTGGGGGTCCCAGCTGCCATCTTCCGAGCTTTGCCTTTAGGCACGGGGGGCAGCAGCTCCACTTCCTCCTGAGGCATCTGGGCTACTTTCTGCAGGAAGATCTTTTCCAAGGCTTGTGCCATGAGGACGATATCATCCGTTGGCTGGCAGAGAGGCATGGAAAAAGAAGGAAAGACAGAATAACCCAAAAGGCCAAAGGCAAACTGAAATACAAATGTCCACACGTTCATTGCTAATTTGGTGGGGGGACAGAGGCCATTGGGCCTCAGAGGGCCTGGGCCCAAGGGAGAAAATTCAGAGCCAACACCCCCGCTTGGTAGTGGCCAAACGACCTTCTGAGCATGGCCTGCAAGTGTCACGAGGCTTCCCCAGAAAAGAGAGGACTAGATCCTTTACCTTGTTGTAAATGTAACAATTGGTAAACATGGTGTTGAAATCCTGCATGCATTCACTGGCACTCCAGTAGTAGTTGTGCTCCAGGCGCTTCTTGATGGTGCCCATGTCCATCGGGTTCTTGATGATTTTGTGGTAATCCTGTCGGGGAGAGGAAACGAGTCAGCCTTTCACTGGCATCCCACCTTAGAAGACGGCTAGCAAGAGAGGCCAGGTCAAGGGAAGCCCTACATTCTGACAGTGGAGAGACCTGGTCGATGGAGCAATTCGTGAATCTATCGGAATAGAGCTGGAAGGGACCTTGGAGGTCTTCTAGTCCAGCCCCCTGCTCAAGCAGGAGACCCTATACCAGTGATGGCTAACCTATGACACGCGTGTCACTCGTGACACGCCGAGGCACTTTGACTGACACGCCTGTTGGTGTGGGGAAAACCTGCACATTGAGAGGCTGCCTGTGCTCTGCTCCAATCCCTGCTCCCTGCTTGTGGCGTGGAGGCGTGGTGTCACCGCTGCCGCGAGATCTTTGCGGCAGAGAGCCAGTTTTAACCGCCATAAACTGAGGTTGGTCAGTTTCATTACCTCCGGAACGCTACAGGAGGAAAGGAGATCCGTGAGGTTCACAGCCCTGTAAGGTGGCCTTCCGATCCCCACATCCTGCACCTGCAGCCCTGAGACCAGGGAGACGAGTTTCACGGCCCTGTGTGATCCCCCCAGCCCGGTCCGTCATAAACCAAATTACTGATATTTCTTGAAGTGACACACGACCCGAGGAAGGCTACACTTTTTCCCGATTTTCGACACACCAAGCTGAAAAGGTTAGCCATCACTGTCCTATACCATCTCAGACAAGCGACTGTCCAGTCTCTTCTTATTCTTAACACTGATACTCCACGGGGTTGCTGTTGAGTCTCTTACTCTACACTCTCTATGTGCGTGACGGCATTCCCACTCACGCTAGTAATACTATTGCTAAATTTGCAGATATACAACAGTGGGGGCACAGGGACTTATCTACAGGGGGGGATGAGTCTGCCTACCGAGATGAGGTGGACCGGTTGCTTTCGTGGTGTGAAGATAACAACGTGGTCCTCAACACCAATAACACCAAGGAGCTTATAGTGGATTATAGAAGGAACAGATCAGACATCCAGCCCTTGCTTATCAATGGAGACTGAGTGGAGCCAGTTTTAAGTTTCTGGGTGTTACCCTAAAAGAGGAACTGACCTGGGATGCTCGCATTGCAGCCCTGGTCAAAAGGGCCCAGCAGAGATTAGACTACCTGAGGCTTCTCAGGAAACAACAACTGAATGAGAAACTGCTGGTGACTTTCCACCGCTGCACCAGAGAGAGCATCTTAACTTACTGCACCTCTGTATGGTTTGCCAATTGCACAGGGGCAGATAGGACAGCACTCCAAAGGGTTCATATCATTGCTCAGAGGATCATGGGTTGCCCTCTCCCCTCTTTGGAAGAGCTTTAGAGCTCCCGCTGCCTTAAGAAAGTTCAAAACATTCTCAAAGATCCATCTCATCTTGAGCACCCCCTTTTTTTTTGAACTATTACCATCTGGCAGACGGTACAGGATAATAATAAAAACAAGGACAAATAGGCTGAAAAACAGCTTCTATCCCAGGGCAGGAGCTCTGTTGAATTCTGCTGTACAGTGCAGTGTTGGTCTGGTGTCAGGGGTTTTCGCTTCAATGTGTGGAGGGTGAAGGATGTGTGTTTGGGTTTATTTTCATGGTCATGATGTGCTCTGAAGATGGTGTTTGATTTCGTTGTACGGGGTGCAATGACAATAAAGCAAACGAAACTAAAACCTCCAGGGATGGAGCGCCTACAATACCTGAAGGCAGGCAGTCCCCCTGGTTCATTGTCCTCCCTGTGAGGAAGTCTCTCCTTACTTCCAGGTTGCTTCTCTCCTTGGTTAGTTTCCATCCCTTGTTTCTTGTCCTGCCTTCAGGAGCTCTGGAGAATAGATCGACCCCCCTCTTCTTTGGGGTAACTACTCAAATATTGGAATACCATTATCATGTCACCCCCTATTTCTTCTTTTCTAGTCTAGACTATCCATTCTCAATTCCTGCAGCGATGGTAGCATGTAATTATGAATTAATCTTATTCCTAGGTGTAGAGCAAGGAAAACAATCACATTCACAACACAATGAAAACCAGCAAGACAGGAAGACAGTCTTAATAATCCATCAGAAGCATCATTAACCCCAGATAAATATGATGATGGGGAGTTTTGACAATAAACACTAAATACCTGGGTATTCTTTTCCCATCGTAAATCGGTGGTGCTATTCTACCGCTCCGGTCTGGTTCTGGTGTACCGGTAGCGCCGATGAGCAGTGGAGACTGAATGGGTTCTCTCCGCTGGACTGCCGTTGGGCCCGCCTGCCTGGGCTCCCATACTGACCTTTATTCTCTGCTTTTGAAGCGCAGCCGCTTTGCGGGGCACAGCCGATTGCCACGCGTCAGCTGCTGAAGCTCCAGGGAGAGTGCAGGAGGCGAGTAGGGGAACCTCTGCTCCTGCGCAAAGTGTGCGTGTGTGTGTGTACAAAGCGCACTCACCAAGCCATGCCCACTGATCCAGTGGTAAACCACTTTGAAACCCCCCACTGTCATAAATAGGATATATTTGCTTTGCAAAATGTATAAATACACTGAATATTCTTGCACAAAATATGGTAACCACTATTACCATACCATACTATATGGTAACCAACAATCAAGAATGGAAACCTCCTAGAATCCATATGGGTCAATAAAAAAGGAAAAAGGAATGACATTGCTGTATGTATACTACCAAGCGGAAGAAATAGATGGACTCTTTGCTAATCAATTAGCAAATGTATGTAGAAAACATACCACAGTAGTAATGGGTGACTTTAACTATCCTGATATCAACTGGGAGACAAACTCTGCAGCAAGTGGGAGATCGAACGGATTCCTAACCAACTTAGCTGTCAACTGTGTCATCCGAAAGGCAGAGGAGGGAACTAGAGGAAAAACTGTACAGGACCTAATTCTTACTAATAGAGAAGAAGTGGAAGAGGGAGTGGAAGCTGCTGTAACCTTGGGGGAGCGCGACCACGTCATATTGGAATTGGAATTCAATGTACTGCAAACACAAGCAATAGAAAAGATTCCAGCCAGTGTCTTAAACCTTTTAAAGAGCTGATTTTAACAAACTCTCATTAAGTGAATCTGGCTCACCCACCACTGACTTTGCTTGTCAGAAGGTCGCAAAAGGGGATCATGGGACCCTGGAACAAAGCGACCGTCATAAATACATCCGAAGTGCCCGGATTTGGATCGCGTGACCGTGGGGATGCTGCAAAGGTCATGAGTGTGAAAAGCAGCCACAAGGCTAAACCATGTGAAGGACGGTTGCAGGATTTGGGCATGGCTAGTCCAGAGAAAAGAAGAACTGGGGGCGACGTGATAGCAGCCTTCCAGTTGTTGAGGGGCTGCCACAAAGAGGAGGGGGGCAAATTGTTCTCCAAAGCACAAAAGAACAGGAGAAGAAGCAAAGGGTGGAAACTGATCAAGGAGAGAAGGAACCTGGAACTGAGGAGGAATTTCCTGACAGGGAGGACAATTAACCAGGGGAACTGCTTGCCACCAGAAGTCGTGGCTGCTCCATCCCTGGAGGCTTTTAAGAAGAGACTGGACGGCCACTTGTCTGAGATGTTGTAGGTTCTCCTGCTTGAGCAGCGAGTTGGGCTAGAAGACGGCCTAGAAGGTCCCTGCTAGTTCCATGATGATGATCGAAAAAAATCTTTTTCAAAAAACGGGCAACGAATTTATAGAAACGGGGGAAAAAATTATGCTATAAAATGAAAATATCTCCTTTCCTGAGTGCCATGGATGAAGAGCAGCAGCAACACCGTAACTTATGGAGCCCAGGTGGCTCAGTGGTTAGAATACAGCATTGCAGGCTCTTTCTACCAAATGCCAGCAGTTTTATCCCGACTGACTCCAGGTTGACTCAGCCTTCCGTCCTTCCGAGGTGGGTAAAATGAGGACCCAGATTGTCGGGGCCAAGAGGCTGGCTCTGGAAACCAAGGAGAGAGGGCTGTAAATGCACTGTGAAGCAGGATATAATTGCTGTGGCCATTTTGTGTTTTCCTGGCTTTTATCAGAAACAAGATGTCGAGCCACACTGATAGTCACAGTTGTTCTACTTGGCTTTGCTTCATTTGAGATGGAGAGCCAAAGTGCCATCATTCCATGTGAGTGGTCATGTTTGTCTCGGCTAAAATTCAACAATATTTGGGGAGAGGATTCCTTATTTTCTTCTGGATTTCAAATAAATAAATAAAATAACTGGGGAGAGAAAGAAATGAGGCTGGCCAGCTATTCTGCTTGGGGAATCTGGAAAGTTAAGGCAAAACCCTGCAGGATCTGAGCGACTCAACACAGGCGGGAAGCCTATTGCAAGGCATCAGAAAGCTGTTATTTTTGCTGTTATGGTGAAGGTGATGCAATGTTTACTCCCCAGGGATGGGATGGGAATCTCACCATGTAGCAGCACAAGAACGTAGAGAGGGACTAGAGAATTCTCTTAGCAGGCAGGATTCTGACTGCCCCTTCAAGGCCCAAACTCCACCTGCACAGGGAAACCGTGGCTGTGTTAGGGAGCACGTGCCTATCAAAAACACGGTCTTCAGCTGGAACCAAAGAGCCAAGTAAACCTCCTGAATCTTCCTTTGCACCTCAAGTGACAATTTTAACTCTGTTTGCAGAGAGCTTCAAAATGATCTATAGCCGGGGGTGGGGTGTGTGTGTCAAACTGGATTGCTTTGAGGGTTGGATCAACATCGTAATTCTCCTCTGCGAGCTGGGGGGGGAGGAAGGGGGGGCAGATGGGACGGACGCCTCCTGCAGCACTTGGCTGGCCAAAAACGGGCCGCATAGAGGCCTCCAAGGCCCCCGTGCAGCCCATTGTTGGCCAGCAGAGTGCTGCAGGAGGCCAGGGAGGCTGAAAACGGGCGGCCGGGGGCCACTCGTGGCGTGTTTTGGCCAGCAGAGGCACCATGGGCTGATCCTTTGATATTTCCAAGATATTTCCCCATGAGCCGGATTTAAGAACCCTGCAGGCCGGATCCAGCCCTGGGCCTTGAGCTTGACACCCCTGATCCAGTGGTGGTATTCTTCTGGTTCGGCCCGGTTCTGCCGAGCCGGTAGTGCCAATGAGCAGTGGAGATCAAACCGGTTCTCTCCGATGCTCTGTGTTGGGCCCACCTGGGCTCCCATACTAACCTTTGTGTCCTGCTTTGGAAGCGTGGCTGCTCTGCACGGCACAGCAATTGCTGCGCACGGCTGCTGAAGTGAGAGGGAGGGTGCAGGATTGCAGGAGGCGAGGCAAAACGCCTCTGTGCCTGCGCAAAGTGCACATTTCGTGCATGCGTGCAAAGCACGCCCACCAAGCCACACCCATCGAACCGGTGGTAAAAAGATTTGAAACACACCACTGCCCTGATTATAAATTTAACCATGGTGCAGAAGTTAAACGCTAAATGTCTTGACAGAGACATTAAAAAAAAGAGAAAGCCACGCACACATGGGAAATATCACTCACCGGTAAGTTTAATTTAATGGCATCAACGGGCTGATAGAAGGGCCATGCAAACTGGTGCTTCCACAGGGTCTTCACCACCACATTTTGCATGTACTGCAGTTGGTTGGTCTTCCTCCCAGGCTTGGTAGGGTTGGTGACCTCTGGAGGAGGAGGATTGACTGGCCCCTGGGGGGCCTGGATGGCTGATGTAAGGGCAGACATGGTTCCCCGCCTCTTGGCTTCACTGAGGGCAGCAGCAGCAGCAGCAGCAGCAGCAGCCAAAGGGAGGAGGAAGAGGAGGAGGAGGAGGGCCACCTTTTATGCTCCCCGCATGGGACAGGCATCCCATTTCCAGGGACCAGCTATGCAGCCTGGAAAGGATAAGGAGAAAAAGCACATCAGTTTCTTCAGTGGGAAAAACAGATGGCAAAATGTTTTGTGGTCAAAGCATCCAACCTCTTTTTCCAGATTCCATGATTACTTGGCACCCCAGATATGAAGGAATCCATTGGAAGAGTTTCAGCCTCCTATCTGCATCCCCATCGCTCACCCCAGAGCGGAGGAAGAGGCAACCAACTCTGGGAGGACCACAAGCCATCCAGATTTATGACTCAAATGAACAGCCTTACATAAAAGAAAAACCACAGGCAGGACAGAACCTTCCAAAAGATACCGAGAGAGTCCGTCCGTGATACGCTTATTAAGTCCAGTAAACTGCCGCCTACCAACCACAGGTTCAGAGGTGCCACCTTGACAATTACAAACATCAGGGAAAGGGGGTGTGTGTCTCCCATCACATCCCCTCTTTCTAAGGCCAGAGCTAGTTCTTCCCATCAGGCAGAGGGAAAAGTTGCACACACTCTGAAGTCTCAAACCCAATTTACCAACGGCTGTGCCTAAATAACAAGATCTGGCCCAAAGGACAGGGGGCCTTTATGGTTTAACGAGGGTTGGATTCCCACAACATACTGAAGCATTTTGGGTTGGCGACATCTAGTGTGTTACACAAAACCTCAAGTGAAACTTGAACTGGAGTCCTGCCAATGCCTGCCTCTTGAAGAAAGAGTGGATAATCCTACAAGCATCAATGAAGATAAAGGAACGTCGGCAAGAAACCATCAAGCTCAGAGCACCAAGGACCTCCATAACCACAAATGATTTTTCTTCTTTTGGAAATTGATGTCTGTTAACATCTGCCTTAGCCAAGTACAAAATGGCAAATAGGATCCCATATTTTTGGGTCAGAATCTTTGCTCCAAATAAGTCTTTACTAGTAGTTTCTTGATGGAAGCAAAGGTCTATAACTGATTTTGTTCAGCTCTTTGTCCCTGGTGCACGCAACTGGGTGCAAAGACAGTGGCTCAAACCAGACATGTAGAAAGCCCTACTATGACCTGGTTTTCATTTAACATGCGTAAGGAAACTAAGCAACAATAGTTTGCTCAAGATAGCTAAACGTTATTTTTTTACATTAGGCTACATTTTACATTAGACAATGTGAACTAAAGTATTAACAAAGGGAGTATTAATTTAAAACTACTAACCATGAGGGTCTGGGGGCATTTTCATTCTGACAATAAAGTAAAGCAACAGACAAAGAGCAAAAACCAATTTTTATACCATTGGTCATTTCAAGTGAATAAAGATTTGATCTTTTCAAGGATTCACATAGGAAATCAAGGTATAATTTGTTTAAATATGGGAGCTGTCCTAAGGAAGGCAACAGACTAATTCCAGGAGTGACTCTCTTTTTTTCCCAGTGAAAACTGCAAACGCTACCCAAAGCCTCCCGCGACTGGGAAAAGTGTTTAATAGTCACAGAGCTCTCCACATGAAGAGATGAGTCAGGTAAGAGTAAAGTTTTTCCTGAGGGAGGAGTAAAAATAAAAACTTCCAAACAATAAACCAAGAGTTTCCTCAAACAATCCCTGTGGCCAGAAGGGAGAGTGCGAAGAGAAGAGACGGCCCAGGCAGCCGCCTTCTTCAACTGACCTTCTCATCTTTAGGAAGCTCCACCACTTTGGATCTCCCTGGAGGGGGACAAAATTGGGGACAGTTCGCAAAACCTCCCCCCTCACAGGCGCCACAAATCCCACCTTTTCCTAATATTCTGAAGCGGTTTTTCATCACCAGAACAACAGTTTATACTTGGGTATCAATCCCCAAAACTTTGGACTAGATTAAAACAATAGTTCCCACAGCCTAGAATTTGCAAAGTTACTCCTGGCTATAAATGATGGGAAACTATCCAGTAAGTTCTCCCAATTGCACATAACTCATCGCCTGACTCTCTGGTTCTGTTTCGGCTGCAACTACCTGTGTGTTAACAACCAAAAAGTGTGAGGTTTTTTTTTTTCCTATTCTTTCCCTCCTGAAGAGATGCAAGAGCTCCGGAAAGCTCATTCCAGCAGCCTCCCTGTAAATGTTATATACAAGCCCAGTAATGACATGAGTAATGCAGAAATCACGGAGCCACTTCCTACCTTTCCCAGGGCGCCTCCTGGGCCCCACCCCCGCTCATTATCCAGGTCTCTGCTTCAAAGCAGAGCAGGATGCCGGCTTCTTCCTTCAGTCATCAGGTGGAGTCCAGATGCTTAGGCTGCTCCTCTTGGATCTAAGCTGAAGCCTTAATCGCCTGACTCTCATCAAGCGCAACAAGTCCATGCTTTGAAACCGTGCATGAGAACTCAGGCGCTCCCAAGAAGCCCATCAAACGGGCCTCAAGGAAAGCGGCTGCTCTTCAACCAGGCAGCGCTCTCTCTGCACGGTGGATGTCGACTGCCCTGCCAGAGCTGGAGAGGACCGGGAGAAGCAGCCCCTAAACAGAGCCCAGGAGCCAGAGAGGAGCAGGGACACCCCTGGTGCTGGAGAAGACCTTGCGGTGCCCTCCAACCTGCCAGGTCCCCCTGCCGAGAAGTGGCGTTTAGGGCAGATCACAAAAGAGGCTCTGGAAGGCAGCAAACAGCAGCGGGTCACCTTGCTTGAGACCTGGCAATTGTGGGGATTAGCTTTTCATCCTGCTTTCATTTTTTAATTCAAGGCAGCCTCTGCAGCTTTAATGCCTCCCATTTTCTCCGTCCTGGGAGGTAGGCTGGGGAGAGGGAGCACCTGCCCCAAAGTCACCCATCCAGCTTCCATCCCTAAGGGAGGGTGGCAATTTGCATTCTTCTGGTTTCTTTAAACTGCTACACCAAATTGGCTCTCACCAAGTACTTTGCCAAGAAAAAAAAAGTGGGGGGAATTTCTGAGTCCCACAAAGAAAAAGTGGACTTTTTCCAAGAACGTTTTCAGGCATCCAGTTTTTATATTTGTCAGAAACAATAAGCCTGAATGACAGAAAAATGGCTGCAATTCTACTGACCGTTTTTACTGCTGCAAATAAACCAAGTAAGAGGTCAAGCAGCCTCCAAATAATGAGGGTGTCTAGCAGGCACAAAGCACCGCTTTACTTCAGCTCCTCAGTGAAACTTTCAGAGGCCGCTGCATTCCGGAAGCCTCTCGGTTCAATCCCAGGGGCAGCACGGCGGTGCCCCCCTCTGTCTCCGCTGCTCCCCTCAAACGGCTGTCCTCCATCCAGAGGGTCCTTCTAAGACCCTGGGAGTCAGGTCAACCCGGCCACTTCCGCCAGCCACTTTTTGGCATGCTGCCCTCCCGGCAAGTAGGGTTTTCATCGTCTCTGGCCCTGGTGACTAGGGAGTTGTAGGCCAAAACGGCCGCAGGGAATCAGGTGATTTACCCCAAGTTCCTTCTACAACCTGTTGCTGGGGAAGGCAAGTAATGACAAAGTCTGTGATTCTAGAAAGCCATTCAGCCGGCTGAGCTGTTTTTGGGAACAGACAAAGTGGTGGCTTTTCTGCACACTGGGTGGAACTTTTTGCACACTTCCATGGAATAAGCTTAGACATCCTCATGAAGAAGGTGCTCGCAGCACATGAACCAGCTTAGCTGCTTTCCTGTGATTCAGGCAGAGCGGGCTGTTCAAATACCCAAACTCCAGCATAGGAACAGAGACCTCCAGAGACGCAAAGCCTCCACTGCACCTCCAGCTTATTGATAGGAGGGAAACATTAAATTCAATACCCTGCAATGGAACCCCAACTCAGACAAACAAGCTGAGAATAAACAACCAAGAACCACCAAGACCATTTCCACCCACACCGACAGGGCAAGCCAGGGGCATATAAAACGAGAGCAAAGCCCCCTCCCTACACCGGGCATGCCCAACCCGCAGCCCTGCAAAGCTAGTGATGCAGCCCCACAAGATCGTAAACTTTTAACATTTATACATGTGCCAAGGAGCCATCAGTAAACAGCCCAACCAAAGAATCTCTAACTGTCCCCATCCACACTGACAGGGAAAGATACCAGAATATAAACTGACAGCAAACAGCACTCCTTAGTAGTACTGATGTTAGGTCATGAAAGGTCTGAAAGAAAACAACCCAGCTTACAGAGCACCAAGGACTCCATGGAACCTCGACTGTTAGGCGCCATTGTTTGTATTACACATAAAAGCCCACAAAGAAGAGATGGCTGAAGTCGGACTGACTGCATCTCTGCATGCAAAGCCATTTCAGCTGCTTTCTATGAACCAGCTACTGAACTGCAGTTGGTAAAGCTCCGATAGCTTGATGTGCAAACGTTAACCAATCATGGCTCATTGCATGAGCCATGCCTAAGAAAACAATGTGTTAGACAGTGTATGGACCAAGTCACAGAACGCCTCAAAGGTTATAGCTGAAGCCTGCATACTATGAAACGAGGCTATTCTATCAGACTCAGTGCTGGATAAATCCACTGGGGGTGGGGGGGGGGGCACACAACTTAAGTACCAAACCAGGCTAACAAAGCATACATTCTGCTTCCAAAGTCCACCCACAAGTTATGAGAGGCCCTCTCTCTCTTTCACCTGTTTTCCCCAGGCAGGGCTGGGAAGAGAGAGCACAGGCATCTCTCTTAACTTCTTCAACAACAACGTCTGTGCTGGCTGGGCTTAGCAGTTTAGTGTCATCTGGGCAGGAATAGGAAATACTACTTGACAACCAAAACATGTGCGATCACAGGGCCATTGTAATCTTATAGGCAAATGGGTTTATTCCTAAGTACGCATTTAAGTATTGATATATGCCTCCACCCAGTTAGTTATTGGATTTCTGCTTTTTGAGAACTCCAATCAATTAGTACTGCAATCCAAAGAGTATCCTCCAAGTGTTTTAAATAAGTATTAGAAAGTAGGACTTTCCAGAGAGTTACAGGTTAGAAACCAAACTTCAGACCCAGAGCTGAGCAAAGTGACTTGAAGCATTTTACCTCTCCTACAGCAACCTAAAAGCCTCAAGTCCCCTCCTGAGAACTGGGTTAGTTCGTTCTGGTACCTGTTCTTTAAGGAAGCTAAAAGTGGACAAAACTTCAATACTGCACTGGCTGTGTGTGTGTCCGCTTTTCTGCCTTGGGCCAAAGTCCATCAGCACCAAGAAATACCCAGAGAAACACTGGCTCAAACCACACTCTGCGTTCAGCCATAGAATAGCTTTGTTGCTGCCCACTAAATAAGCCAGGGTTTACAATCGTTCCTCCAAAACGTGGCATTTCTGATGAAATTTGCATCCTGCCCTTCTGCTATTGGAACGCGCTCAAGCTAGCTTGCAAGTTGAACAAAATACAAAATATGAAGTCCACCCACCCATAAAATCAAAACCAATTAAAGAGTTCAAAGCCTGATGAAAGAAATGCACGTTCACCGTTTCCCTAAAGCAGGGGTCCCCAAACTTGGCAACTTTTAAGACTTGTGGACTTCAACTTCAGCTATGCTGGCTGGAGAATTCTGGGAGTTGAAGTCCACAAGTCTTAAAGTTGCCAGGTTTGGGGATCCCTGCCCTAAAGGATGGGGCAGAGGAGACCTCCTAATGGGACTGGTGGCCTCTTCTGCCGGACTCAAGAGACAAGCTTCCCAGGGGTCTGTGATCTGGGCAATCGGACCCCAGCCTGGTTTCAGAGCTGGATTTAGGGTCTTGCCCCCAATCAATTATGGCATATTTAGCAACCTTTGGCTTAGCATAACTTTCACTCAGGTCTCCTTCTGGGCAAAATCCATTCACCATTGGCATTAATAGGCAGCTGTCGTTTCCACCCAGGCTTCCCAGTCCAGCTTGAGAGCTGGGACACCAGCAGCCCGGGAGGGGGGAGAACCCCCAACCTGCCAATCTTCCTCAGGTTTTGACAGGTGTCACTTAACTTTCTCTGCCAGCTCTTCCAGGCTGCCAAGGCCGGTCTTGTCTCATCAGGGCAAAGAAGGGGCTGCGCTACCTCGGCAGCTCTGAGCTTCCTAGGACAAGCAAGCGAGCCGGGCAAGCAGCCGAACCACCCAGCGATGAATGGCCGCCTGTCTCGCCCAGCCCGGTCGGGAATGGCGGCGGCTCCATCCCGGCACCCGCCTGGCAGAGGTCAGCCGGGCCGGGGGCGCACCGACTCCGCAGCCCAAGCAGCCGGAGAGCGCTGCCCTGGGGGGGGGGGGTGTTTCTCGCCGGCGCCCGCTCTTCCCCCTCTGCTGCAGAGAAGAGCCGGCAGCCGCCCTCCATCCGGGGCAGGCCGCGGGGGGAGCCCGCCCCAACTTCGGGGGAAGCGCCGCAGCGGAGACCGCGAGGAGGGGCGCACCTCCCCCGCCCCAAAGAAGGTCGCTCGGCGGGGACCCGGGAAGAGGCCCCTCCAGGTGCCCTCCGGAACCCCCGCTTGCCGGCCCCGGGGGAGGGGGCGGAGGGGGCAAGATCCGCCGAGAGGGGAGCCCGGCCGGGCTTTGACCGCCCGCGGAGGCGCCCCTTCGCCGGGCCCACCGAATGGCGCCGGCCTTTGTGTGGTCGCCGCCGGCGGCGAAGATGGCGCGGAGAGGGAGTCGCCGCCCGCCCCCCCCCCCCCCCCCCCCCCCCCTTCTTGCCGGCGCGCCCCCCCCCCCCCCCGGCGGCGGGGCCCCCCGCCGCGCCCCCCCCCCCCCCGCCCGGGCCCGCGCCCGCTTACTTGGGCCCGCCGCCCCCGCCGCCGCTGCCCCCGCCTCGCCAGGCCGGCGGGGCGGGCAGGCAGGCAGGCAGGCTGGCTGGCTGGCTGGCGTTGCGTACCAAGCCGCTCCTGCCGCCGCCGCCGCCGCCGCCGCTCCGGTCCGCTGCCGCCCGCCGAGGCCAGTCGGGCTGATGCGCGGACGGGGCGCAGCGCAGCGCTCATGCGCCGGCCGCGGGGGCCGCCGGGAAGCGTAGTTCGCTGGCGCGGCCTTTGGCGGCGCTCCGCCCCGACGGGGACTACAAGCCCCAGCCCTGCGCGCGCCGCCTTTCTTTCGCCCGCGCCGCCAACAAAGCGCTTGGCGGAGAAGGAGGTGGCCCGGTCGGGTAGGCCTCAGTCCCGAGAGGCTCCGGCGGGGTGGCGAGGCCCGGAGCCTGCCACGGCTGGAAGGCCGGCTTCCGTTAGTGCCCTGGAAGCCTCCGAGGTGCAGGCCGCGAAAGGCCCGGCGGAACCCCCTCCCCCCGGGGCGGCCTGAGCGCCTCTCCTCGGGCCCGTCTTTGTCACGGACGGGGCGGCCGCTCTCGCCCGGAGTCTCAGGGAAGGCCTTTGCACGACTCCCTGGGTCGGGGGCCCTTCAGATCAGAGGTCTCCAACCATGGCCGCTTTAAGCTTTGTTGTCTGGGGAATTCTGGGAGTTGAAGTCCTCCAGGCTTAAAGCGGCCAGAGTTGGAGACCCCTGCATCAGATGATTCCCCAGCTTGACTACTGCAACGTGCTCCATGTGGGGCTGCCCATGGGGACTACCCAGAACCTCTGATGCGGCATCTCCAACAGCCACAGAAAACCTGGTTCCAAGGCCATAAATTTGGGTAGTCCTCCTAAAATGACCACTTTTCCTGTGACCATCCAAAGTTAGTGGTACTCAGTGATACCCAGGATGGGTCCTCAAAAGTTCTGGCTGTCCCAGCAGCCCTGAATGCCACATGACTGCAGTCTGGGCACCTGGCAGCTGGGTTAAACAACCGTTGGCAGCATCTTAGTCAGGTGACAGACATTTGCCATCTTTCCTGCCAGTTTCTCACAAGCAATGGGAAAGCTGGCAGGGCAGGTGGCAACTCACTCTGGCAAGTTAATCTCCCTCTCCCCCACATGCTCATTGCTCTCATGCCATGCTGGCCACCCACATGCCCTCCCCATCGGACAGCAGCCACTTTACCTGCCAACCTGCTTGTGAAATACCTGAGACTCAATCCTTGCTTAACATTGGCAACCGAATGTCAGGTTTGGAAAGTGGTATCACACTTTATGAACAGACCACTTAAGGACAAATTCCTCGGAATCATTGTTAACCAAGGACTCCTTCAATGACTGTAAAATCCTTATTATAAGATTACAATAATAACCTTGCAAGTCTGAAAGGATTGTTCTCCACACCCCGCATTTCAGTGAAGTAGGGAGGGTCTCTTCTGATACCCCCTGCCTTCAGACTTAGATTTCATTCATCAGATCCTTCTCTAGGCTGTGGCTCGTCTTCCAGTCTCCCACAGTTACTTTCACATCCCTGACTTCATTATACTGGCTAGGTTTTATCTTTTACTGTAATAGTAATTTCTTTGCTATGAACTGCCCTGAGTTATTGAGTGGCTTGCAATTTTAATACATTATCATTATAGTATACATGGTATATATTATTGCTGTTTAACTGGGTCTACCCAACACTGATTTATTTCCACAATTGCAATTTCTTCTTGGAACAGTCACTGTAAAGTAATAAAATCAAAAGATTGTTCACTCATTCAGTTTATGATTATTCATAAGAGGAGAAAACGATTGGCTACATGTAGAATTACATTAAGTATGATCTTGAGGTTGACAAGATGTTTAAAATGGAATAGTTTTAAGTCTGAAAATCAGGGAAGCCCCACAGCACCAGCTGAACCAAGCACAGGATGAGATAAGAGTTGGCCCCTATTAGCCTGACTTGGGTCCTGCCCTAGACACCCACAATTGCAGAATGCTACACAGATAATCCTCGACTTAGGGCTGTAATAAAATCTCCCTACTACAATCATAAGTTGTGGTTGTTAGGTGAATTGCCTGCCTGGTTGCCTCACTCAATGACCACTGTCCTAGCACTCCCAGATGCCAAGCAAAATCAGTTTTGCAGCTCCATGTACAGAACCAGCACTTTGGGCCAGAGAAAGGAACCTCAGAACCCTAGGATCCATTCCCTTTCTCCTTCCCCCACTTCCCCCCCAGGGGCCTAACTTTACAGCCCAGGTGGTGGTGGTGGCATACTGCATTTAATTGTGGCAGAATCACCCCTGCCCTCCCTGGGCCGGAGAGTCTTCTTTAACTTTCTGGGCCAGGGAGGGAGGGGAACAAGCACACTGGACAGGAGAAAGGAAGCGGCTTTTGACCTTCCCTGACAGTCCCTTCATTCTACAACCACTCATACATTCAAATGGCTGCTGAGCATTCGTAAGCCAAGGAGTACCTGGGCTTCAAGATGCTCTGGAAGACCAAATGAATGAGAAACTTCCTCTGGTCAAGAATGTGGCAGCCATGGGCACTTCTGCTTTGTGAACTCCGCCAGTGGTCCGTTTTCTTCTGGGTGTGTGTCAAACTGTGACCTGTGAAGCCTTAATTCACACAGTGCCTGGCTACTGGATAGACCACCTGCCCTCCTGATTTGGCAGTTTGCAGACTCCCTTGGATTAAGCAACTTCATCTCTAGGGTCCCACTAAACATGGTTACGGTCCACTGCAGCGCCTGGGAGGATCCCCCCACCCCACCCCGCCCCGCCACAGATCTAGGCAGCGGGAGCCCTCGTGGACCACTTTTCCGCGCAGTTGGACGGATTCTCCTGTTGCTCTAATGCACGGGACCCCAAACTTGGCCACTTTATGACTTGTGGACTTCAACTCCCAGAATTCTTCAGCAAGCGTAAGTTTGGAGTTTGGAGATACGACGTTTCAGTCCGTGAGCTGCGCATGCAGAGTCGCCCTGGAGTCAGGCGACCCCTGCAGAATCCACAAAAGGATTCTGGTGCATTAATAAACACGCGCGCGCGTCTCTCTCTCTCTCCCTCTCTCCCCCCGCTTCCCCCCCTCTTTCTCTGTGATCCAGTCTGCACCTCTGTGAACCAGCATCTTCTGAATGCTGCCGGTCTCTGCCCGCGATCCTCCGGGCTACTTTCGCGCGATTCAGTTTCATCGGGAACTGATCTCCTGCCGTGCGCGGGGCAAGAAAGCCTTTGCCCTCGCCGGGAGCAAAGAAGCCCTGAAGCCGACCAGCCCGCCTGCGAAAGAAAGTGGGCAGCAGCTAGCATCCCTCCCTCCTTTGGAAGTTCCCGCCGAACCCGGCTACGCGCCTGCGCCTCTTGACCCTGTAGGCCCGCCGTAGCCGCGAGGGGCGTTTCCGCCCGGCGTTGTCCCGGCGCGCCTTGCCGTGAGCCTCTTTCCGCGCCTGCGCGAGCAGGGCCAGCCCGGCGCCAAGCGCGGCGTCGCGCCTGCCTCGCCTGACCGCCCTCAGTGCGCCTGCGCGAGGACTCTCGCGCGGCTTCCCCTCCCTCTTCCCTCCCTCCCTCCCTCCCGCCGGGCGGCCCGCAGGGAGGCGGCGGCGGCGGAGCCCGAGCGACCCGCCGCGAAGGAGGAGGAGGAGGCGGCGGCGCGGTGAGTCCAGCCGGCAGCCGCGCCGACGGGCGGGCGTGATGGGCCGGCCGCAGCCTCCGGGCCCTCCATCCCTCCCACGCGGCGGCGCTGGGCGGGCGGTCCGTTTGGGGCCTCCGCCCGCCGGAGGTTCCTCGGGAGGCTTTTTCCCTCGAGCCGCTGCTGGTCCTGAGGAGGCCTCCTTACGCCGCCGCCCCCCCCCGCCACGGGGGCTTCCCTGCTGCGGTGACCGTGGAGGGGAAGGCCGCCCCCCCCCCCAAAGACCCCCCTCACTGGCCCTGGCCTGAAGAACGGCCCCTTCTGGTGGCTGCGGGAGGGTCCCCCCTCCTCTTTGGGGGAAGCTGTGAGGGAGCCCCGTTCCCCCCTTGGCACTTGAAGAGGGTGGACTTCGACCCCCATAATCCCTCAACTGTCTGGCTGGGGAATTGTGGGAATCGGAGTCCCCCCTCCCCCTTTTTCAAGTGCCATGTTGGGGCGGGGGGCACACAGCCGTTGGAAGGGGGCTGCCCGGCTTCCCTTGGGGCCCCTCCTGAGTAACCCAGGGAAAAGCCACGTCCCGTTCCTGTTATTGCGGCGGGGGGGGGGGATTATTTGTGCCACCTAGGGTCTCCAACCACGGCCACTGGCAGACTTTGCTGGCTGGGGAATTCTGGGAGTTGAAGTCCGCCAGGCTTAAAGTGGCTGTGGTTGGAGCTCCCTGGCCTAGGCCACCCGGGTTAAAGCCTGGCCCTGCCGTTGATTGCCTTGCCGGGTGGGACTTGCCTTCCAGGGCTGCTGATGGGCTTTGTTGTAGGGCTCTGGTGTGCTGGCCAGAAGCTCAGCTGCCTTTAGGCGGCTTCACAATGTCCTGGGATGCGCCCTCCCCCTCCACCTGCTTTGCTGCTCTCAGGTGCCTGTAAGTAAAATGCCCTTCCTTTTTCTTTCTCTCCCCAGAGAGAGGTGAACCTTTCCTTTGAGACCGCCTAATCCTGGCTTGGCCTTCCCTCCGTCATGGCTACGGAAGAGAAGAAACCTGATGCGGAGTCAGCCAAACCGCAGTCGGCTCCTTCCTCCTCAACCAATCAGAGCAAGGTGAGTGGAAAGCTGCCTGGAAGTCCAAGGGGAATTCCTCGAGGAGCATGAAAAACCTGCATTTTGCTAAGGAGGAGGGTTTGGAATACCTCTCTTCCTGCTTGTAGAATTTAGTGGCTCACACTTAAGCATAAACAATATTTAGGAATAGAAAAATAGGTTTGAAGGGACCTTGGAGGTCTTCTAGTCCAGCCCTCTGTTCAGGCAGGAAACTCTGTACCATTTTAGACAAATGGTTATCCAACTTCTTCTTTTAAAACCTCCAGTGTTGGAGCATTCACAACTTCTGGAGGCAAGTTGTTCCACCTGTTAATTGTTCTCACTGTCAGGGAATTCCTCCTTAATTCCAGGTTGCTTCTCTCCTTGATCAGTTTCCATCCATTGCTTCTTGTCCCGGCTTCAGGTGCTTTGGAGAATAGCTCGACCCCCTTTTCTTCTTTGGGGCAGCCCCTGAAATATTGGAAGACTGCTGTCATGTCCCCCCTGGTCCTTCTTTTCTGACATTTGTGACAGGAGAAGCAGGCTATTGTGCCATCTGTTCCAGTACATGATAGGTTTAACAACAACTTTGCAATCGTTGAATTTGCGTATTTATATTCTAGTAACTTTTTGCTAGAACTTTGATTTGAGCAATATCAAGTAACATAAATCCAGGATACAAATAAAGAAAAAAATATGGGAAATATAAAAAAAGGTTCTACTACAATGTAAAGAGATGGATACAGCATCAGAAAATATGCCATATATTAAAAATAGACCTTCATTTCTATCTTAACTACTGATCAAACCTTTGAGATACAGGTTATGATCAAGTTATGATCATTCGCTTAGCAAATGGTACTTTAAAAATATGATGTTTGTTACAGGGTCCCTGCTGGCTTCCCACAAGCACAGTCGATAAGGAAACTGGCAGGAAGTCAAAATCGCAACTTAACAATTGTAGCTGGGACTGCTGGAAGTGCCAATGCTAAGTGACATACTCACATGATGTCCCATTTTATGACGTGTCACTTAATGACTGCAGTTCTGGTCCCAATTGCTATTGTAAGCCAAGGACTACCTATATCTGCCATCATTAGAACAAAGCACAACTTAAATAAAACAACGTATAAGTCAACAACAGAATAGAACAGTATCTACAAATGGACGTTTTCCAGCAATGCAGCCTACAATTCTTTTATTCATAATTCTTTGATTCTCTGTATCAAGTCTGTGCTCCAGAACTGAGCCCTGAGCCCTACCTGTAACATTCTCAAGTGCGCCTGACTCTGCTGCAGTATTTTTCTTAAAAAGTTTTGGAAAGATGCAAACTATATCTGAGTAGCTTATAAATTCATCTTCATCAGGATAGTAAAAATGTTAAAGAGTATTGGATACTCCCACACAGTATTGGATTTGTGACAGTTAACAGCTTTGCCAGGTGATCACAACATGCCGTTGCAAAGGAACTTAATTCCTTAGGATCAGGCTTCATTCCAGTTGGTCCAGCTCTGCTTTCCAGCTGCTTTGCTGGGAGGGTACAAATATCACTGCCTCCCTGCCAGGCAGCCGTTGGCATTTGCAGATACATGGCTTCTGAATGGAGAATTCTCTTCTGAAAATGAATTTTTAAACACTTTTTAGGAGAAGATTTCAAAAGTGACTGGGTACCTGCATTTGCACTATTTTGTTTTCACATACTTCTCTGCTAATTTGGTCAGTCCTAATAAAAGGATCCTGAAAGTCAATTTGTCCTAGCAGTGGAGGGAGGTACAAAGAGAGCAGGCTTGGTGGGATCCTGGCAAGTGGTGGCCAAAGAACTACATATCACCCCCACCCGCCCACCCACCTCCGGCTTGGCCATTTGTAAAAAGGACAAGTTGTTTCTTGGCCTAACATGGTTTTCTTTTGCCAGCCTGCGCCTGTGAAACCGAACTATGCCCTGAAGTTCACATTGGCAGGACACACCAAAGCTGTCTCCTCCGTAAAATTCAGTCCCAATGGGGAGTGGCTGGCTAGTTCTTGTAAGTATCCTTCTATTCCCTTTTCTTTCTAAAGTATATAATTCCAGTGAAAGGAACTAAAATTAAAATGGTAATTTTAAAGTGGAAGCCAAATGTCTGGGTTGTTTTTTTTTTGTTTTTTTTTTTACATTTATGGATCTTTGTGTCTCAGAGTGAATCAGGCTTCCTTCTGACCAAGTTGTTATTCAGAAGTCCACCAGTGTCCTTGGCGATGGGTTTGGGAGTGCAGGTTTTTTGACCGGGGTGGCTCCAGAGAAGGCAGTTTGCCTGGCTTGTCCTCCGTCAGACCTTTATGACCATTGCAGCTGCAGCAGCTGGTCACATTGTTTTCCCCTCCAAGGCCTCCAGCGGTGGAATCTCCCCTCTCTGGGAGGCTTCCCGTTTGTTCTCTTCTTGAGTATCAGGTTCGGATAGCTGAATGGTTTAAAAAAAATCAATAAAATGCCATATTTTAAAATGGAGGAGTTTGGCCCTCTACTTCTTATTGCTATTTCAATTGTGCATTTGTTACCTGTGCTTTCTTTTAAGTTATACATGACATTTTAACCGAAGAAAAATAGTTCTTAATACAGTAGGCGGTCACATCATTTCAGAACATCTGTGAAGCTGGCAGAATTTGGATTTCTTAAGGCTGTTTATATGTTCAATGTTGTATCAAGGAAGGCTATTTTTATGATTGGTGTAAACATTACATAATTTTGCATAACATACTCTGGTTCTCCATGACCTGGACTGGACAGAGGCGAGCGGAAGCCCCTGAACTTTGGAATTCTTTATCACAGCTCACTGTGAATGGATTTGTCAGCTGGACATTGGAAAAGATGAAAGTGAAATTTCCGTGTTCACAATACTTGGTAGCTGGCCCTGCCGGTTGGACTCCCTTGCAGTGCTCCGCCTCTCTCATCATCCCAGTGGAAAAGAAGCTGCTGCCGTTGCCCTGTCTTCCCGAACTCTCACTGGGTTAGGTACAGATTAACAGAGCTGGAAGGGTCCCTGTAGGTCATCTAGTCTAACCCTCTGCTCAAGCAGGAGACCCTGCACCCATTTCTGACAGATGGCAACCCAGTCTCTTCTTCAAAGCTCCAGTGATGAAGCTCCGGCAACTTCTGAAGGCAACTTCTGTTCCATTGGCTGATTGTTCTCCCTGTCAGGAAATTCCTCCTTATTTCCAGGTTGAATCTCTCCTTGGTCAGTTTCCACCCATTGTTCCTTGTCTGGCCTTCAGGGGCCTTGGAGAATAGCTTGATCCCTTCCTCCTCTCTGGGGCAGCCCCTCAAATATTGGAAGACGGTTATCATGTCTCCCTGATAAATTGTGTGCCAGTTGCTAAGGGTCCATATTTCAATCATGTGACTTCAGGGACACTCTGAGGGCCACTTACCTGTCATAAGTACCCCTTTTTCAGTACCATAATAACTTGAAATGATAACAACATTAAATGAAGTCTACTTGCGTTCGCAGGAAACAAAATTATGGGTGGCAAATTGACTTTTATAATCAATCATTTTCACTTTTTTCCTCCAGCGGCTGATAAGCTGATTAAAATTTGGGGTGCTTATGATGGCAAGTTTGAAAAAACAATGTCTGGACATAAACTGGTAAGTATGATACGTGGGATGGGAGTTTGATGGTCCTTGCAAATTTAACTGAGATGGTCCCAAGACATAGGACTCCCTTTCTCCAGCTCCCACGGCGGCATCGTAATAAGCCATGAGGAGGAAGTTACAGTCTGGCTTAATTATTCAGGCCTATCACTAAGGTGGCCTCTCACTCATAACATTAGACAGATCACACTTTGGGGACAAAAAGCATAAAGGGATGAAGAGAGATTTCTAGATTAAACAATGTTTGACCACAAACACAGAGAGACAGATTTTGAAAGCACTTCCTAAATCACTACTGAGGAGTAGTTGGACACATCAGGAGTTGTATCAAGTGAAGCATTTGCTGGAAGAGTGTCCTGTCACCCTCCTATGGAAAGGTACACCTGGGCACCTGTCCTCTCTGGAGCGAAGGCTTTTCCAAGTCAAGCTAATTCTTTGTGATATCCATGTAGGCTTTGCTGCTCTCTGCAATTTTGTTTTAAACTTCCAAATGTCAGTTACAGCCCTGAGGTTGTAAGTGCATTTCCTGATCACCCAAGGCAGTTGGTATTGCCAGCTGCTGGGGAGGGATGACATTTCCCAAGATGCCAGCCCAAACTTTGGGTGAAGAAGAAGTAATTCCAGAGGCACTTTTTCTGTTTTGCAGGGAATCTCTGATGTTGCCTGGTCATCTGATTCTAACCTTCTTGTCTCTGCCTCCGATGACAAAACTCTCAAAATTTGGGACGTCAGCTCGGTAAGAAGTTACTGAGTGTGTGATTTCAATGCCCAAGAACTTTGGAGAGACACACCTGATCCAAAAAGTCCCCTTTTGTCCAAATCAGGGTTAATTACAGTGCTTCATTTTCCCTTCTCTGTCTTAATGTACAACCTGAAGGGAGTTTCTTGTGGCGGTTCCAGGATCGGTTAACTAAGAGAATGGACGATTTCACAGGTGTTTAACCTTATTGTATGTGTATATGAAAACATGGAAGGGGAATTGTTCGTTTCCCCTGCCCTCTGTTCCAGGAGGAAGTTGGGGAGGGTGGGCAGGCAGAGGCTGCTCCCTCTTGGTTTGCTTCTGGTCTAGATTGGTTAGTATGGAAAACGATGCTTCAGGAGAGTAAAACGAGAGTTGCGAGCCAGTATACAACATCGATACCTGGGGAAATCCTAAAAAAAGACAATCAAATAGCAAATTTGTGAGACTTAGAAATCAGTAATGAAGCCAGCATGGTTTGTTAAAAACAGATCACGCTCAACAAACCTTACATTCTTCTTTGACAAAGTATCTAAATTAGCAAACCAGAGAAATGCTGCGAACATAGTACATTTTGATTTCAGTGAAGCATTTGACAAAGGAGACCACAGCCTACTTTTGGGCAAGATAGAAAAATGTGGGGTAGAAAACCTGGCCCTCAGATGAATTCGTAACTGGCTGACTAACCACACTCAGTGCGTAGTCTGTGTGAAGGGAAGTAAGCAGCGGGTTACCTCCTGGTTCCGTCTTGTGCCCGGTATTCTTCAACATTTAGATGAAGGGAGAGAAGGGGAGATCATCAGATTTGCAGGCAATAGCAAGTTGAGCGGAATTGCTAACACTTTGGAAGACAAACTCAAGATTCAGAACGATTTTGACAGAATTAAGTATTGGGCCCTATTCAAAAGATTCAGTTCTTCAGAGGCAAGAAAAAGAAGGCCCTGCCGTTAGGAAAAACCAGGTGCACAGGTACACAATAGGAGGTACCTGGCTCACTAGTAGTAACTCTGAGAGGGATGTAGTAGACCACCGCTTAAGTATGAATTAGCGTGCAGCAGCTGCCAAAAGAGCCAGTGCAGTCCTAGATTCTATCATCCGAGGGAGAGCATAGGAGTCATAGGAAATGAGAATCCTGCTTTATACTGCACGGATCCAGTTCTGGTCACCACAATACAAAAAAGTTGTTGGGACCCTAGAAAGACTGGAGAGAAGAGCAACAAAGAGGATTACGGGTATGGAGGCTAAACCATACGATGAATCGGGAAGGGAACTAGGTATGTCTAGCCTGTTGAGAAGGATTAGGGTGACGTAATGGGTGCCTTCCAATATTTGAGGGGCTGTCACAGAAGAGGCGGCTGACTTATTCTGCAGAGCACCTGAGGACAGAACAAGAAGCAATAAGCTAGATACCCAACCTGGCCCTGAGGAGAAACGCCCTGACAGTGAGAATAATTGATGAACGGAACAGCTTGTCATCTGGCGTTGTGGGTGCTCCATTGCTGGAGACTTTTAAGAATCATTTGTCTGCTGGAGCGACCAGAAGAGATAAAATCAGGAATGAGAAAGAATTGGCATGGAACCAATCTTAAATTACGTACAAAAATGAAAAATAAAGTGGTTTGCTCACCTGGAGAGGATGTCTTGGGATTCCACACCATACAAGGCATATAAAAAAGAGAAGGTCAAAGGACACGAGGCAGACCCCAAAACGTATTTTGTTTTGAAATCACTCTGGATTAGCAGAGGCAACATGAACGATGGTTAAAATCGGGGGAACACCTCATCTTCAGGAGCTGTGGGTACCCCCTTGCTGGAAGCCTTTAGGAGGAGACTGGACAGCCCTTTGTCCGGAATGGCATAAGGGCTCCTGCTCCGGCAGGGTTTTCGACTGGAAGACCTCTGAAGTCTTTCCCAACCCTATTATTCTGTTATTTGTTCTGTATTTTGGCAAAAACAAAACCCACAGAGCATTTTTACTGTGTGAAAAGGACAGAGCTGGTGCAGACATGTAATTGTCAAGGCTGATCTTTGACCATTTCCCCATCTGAAAATTTTGAATGAGGTTCTGTTCATTACACCAGGTAGGGTTCTGATAGTGTGGCACTAATGCAGGGGTCTTCAAACTTGGCAAGTTTAAGACTTGTGGACTTCAACTCCCAGAATTCCTCCTCCAGTCATATTAGCTCAGGAATTCTGGGACTTGAAGTCCACAAGTCTTAAACTTGCCAAGTTTGAAGACCCTTGCATAATGCTTATGTTGTGGACAAACAACCAAGATCGATGTAGCTGAAGATAAAGGGGCAGACTGACGATGCTGGGCTGGTATTCGGGAGGTCTTGCTTGCTTGCCCAGCCAGCCTGTAGTTCTGATTCTGCCTGGTTAGAAGAGCCTTGTGTGGCTTGTCCAACAGGGCAGCCTCCTTCCAGGGGCCCTGTGGTGTGAGTGCACCAAGCGAAATGGAATAGAAGAGAATTCTTTATTGGCCAAGTGATTGGACACACAAGGTGGATAAATTCTCATTGTTCATAAAAGTGGTAAAGATACATTCTTTACCTAAATCATAAGATACAACACTTAGTGACAATCATGGGTTAATAAATAAGCAATCAACAAGCCGTACTAGGAAACTAAAACGATATAAATCATAAAGGTAGAAGCAACAAAGAGTCATAAGTAGAAAATAGGAAAGATAATATTAATAGAGTCTTACTAAATAGTTTGACAGTGTTGTGGGAATTAGTTGTTTAGCAGAGTGATGGCATGTGGGGGGGGGGGGAAATGCCCTTGTGCCTGGTTCTGATGTGCAGTGCCCTATAGCGTTGTTTTGAGGGGAGAAGAAATGCCAAATTCTGTGAGGAAAGATGCCCGCCCAGAGCCCAAGTCAAGATTTATCTGCCAGTTCCAGGTTGCAAAGTAGTCAGGTGGCCAGATGGAGGCCTTCCCCATCTCCCATTTTTCAGGAGTGAAATTTGGGCAGGCCTGGATACATTTGCTCTTCCACCCAGAGCTCTAACAAAAGAGGGGAAATGGTTTCTCCAGCCCCCTTTCAGCATCACTTATCATCAGAGTCCATTTTGGTTCTTTCTGCAAAGTGCGGTTAGAGCACGCTATAAAAATCTCTCTCTTTCTCTCTCTCTCTCTCTCTCTCTCTCACTCACTCACTCTAGGGAAAATGCTTAAAAACTCTGAAGGGGCACAGCAACTACGTCTTCTGCTGCAATTTCAACCCTCAGTCAAACCTCATCGTCTCAGGATCGGTAAGCATCTGGCTGGGGCAAGACCTGCCCCCTTTTTCAGGCAGGAATCCACGGTGGCTCTCAGGACCTGCAGCCAGATGGGCCTCCTTAGCTTTCCAGAGCTGCAGCTCTGCCTTTGGAGGCCCCAAAGCTTAGCCCTCCCCATCCCATGGCCCTGGAAGGGGTGGGGTGGGGGGTGCTCTGGATTCTTCTTGGTCAAAGAGATCCTGTGGTTTCCAGCCTCAGGTGGACATTCTGCGGCAGGAGGAGGCTCTCCTATGACTTCCGGCGTCCCCTCTCTTTCTCCATAGGTGATAAAAGGTTATTAATTAAATGTAAACAAATAGAATGGGAGATATCAGATGAGTGATTTTTACAGCAAAATAACCTTTTCAAAATACTCCCATTACTTTCTATTTTATTCCACTAGACTTTTGATTGGCCCCTTTTTTATTCTGAAAATTATAGGTCAAATATTCATGAGTTACAGCCCTTTTCATTGGTTCCTCTCCCCTTTAGCCATTTCATGGGTGTCTTCCTCCACAGGGGGGCATTTGGCATTTCCAATTAGTGCCCCCCCGCCCCCCAATGTCTGCTACTGGAAGGGAGCCCTAGGGTGACCTGGGGGCATGAGGAAGGGCTTCACGAGCCCCATCTGTCTCTCGGGCCATGGGGAAAGTCTGTGTGAAATGGAAGCACTCTGGGCGCCCCAAGCCAGAAACAGCTGCTTTTGGGGGGTTCCAGAGCAGGAGACTGGAACACTGTGAATATATCTGCTGAACAAAACTCCGCATTGGTGACAGGAAGGGCATCCGGCCACTCAACACCGTGCTGGCTCCATTCAGTTGCCCAGACTCCGCCCCACAAGGGATTATGGGGTTGTTAAATGATGATAGCAGGCCACTGGAAAGGACCCTCTGGAAGCTGAGCTCCATGGCACAAAGAGACAATTGTTCTGGGATTTTTCTTAAAGCCCCCGGGAGAGGGAGGGGCTGCTCTGTTCTCCTCAAGAGGGACCATTTCGGGGGAGGGAGAGGCAGGCAGGAAATGCTGCCCTGCCGAAGCAGAAGCCCTTCGGGTGTTGGGGGAGGGGTCCCACTCTGACCGTTTTCTCTTTTCCGTTTCCAGTTTGACGAAAGCGTCAGAATCTGGGATGTCAAAACGGGGAAGTGCCTGAAAACGCTGCCAGCCCACTCGGACCCCGTTTCTGCCGTAGGTTCTCTTTGGGGGAGGGTCTTCCATCTCCGGGGCAGAAGAGGGGGGGCCCCCAGAGCCGGTTCCCTCTCCTCCCTCTGCTGTCCCCCAAATAACCGGCTCTCTTCTCGCCTTCAGGTGCATTTTAACCGCGACGGCTCCCTGATCGTGTCCAGCAGCTACGATGGTCTGTGGTGAGTAGGGAGCAAGGAAAGGCCCGCAGGGCTGAGCCGAAGCTGCCGGGGTGGGCACAGCAGGCCCTGCGAGCCGTTCTTCCGCGAGGACGGGGCCTGGCAGGCCTGGCCTGGGAGTGCCGGAGCGCGTGGTGTCCCTTGAATTAACACGGTGACTCTGCCCTCAGTTTCAAGGAGGGGCAGTGGGCATCCTTGCCACACGGCAAAAGTCCGGTGGAGGCACACAGGCTTGCTTCCCACCTCTGCCCAGAGAGATTGGACCTTCTCTGGCCTGGTTTGGGGCACCTCCTCCTGCAGAGGTGGATCTTTTAACGTGGCCTTTTGAACTTAACTGGACAACCCCGGCCTCATTTCCAACTCTGGCTCTTTCCCCAGAGATGATCGAGGGTGGGGGGGGCTTTTATTGGTGGGGGGAAAGTCCTTTCGGAAGAGGGCTGTCGGTTGTTCCTCTTTTGTGTTGTCTCCTCTCACACACACACACACACACACACCCCGGGTGAAGCTGCCTTTTCTGTGCTGCGCAAAGACCCTCGGCAGACAGACAGCCCTGGGGCAGCAAAGGACGCCTTGCCAGGAGGGAGCTTTGGGGCCTGGCTTGGTCCAAGAGTCCCTCAGCCTTTGACCCAGAGGCTTCCCCATCCTGGGCCGGTTGGCTCTTTTGGGTAACTGGAACCTGAAGCCTTCCGGCCCCCCCTGAACCCCAGATGCCGCCTCGGCTTCCCCCGCTTGGTTCTCCCCTTTCCACTCCGGGCTCTTTCCCTGCTGGCGGAGGGGATGCCCGTCCTCCCAACCTCTGAAGAGCAATCGGTCAAGCAGGAGAAAGGGGTGTAGGGTGGAGTGGTGGCTCCCCCCCCCCCAAAAAAAGGATGGGGCCTGTTCTTGCCCTGCCCCCCTTGCCAGCCTCTCCCATCGCACACCAAGGCTTCTCTTTCATCCCCTCCCCTTCTCTTCTGAATTGGCAGTGTCCCGTCCCGTCCCCCCCCCCCGGGTCAATTCCTCATTCCTTCCTGAGATCCCGTTGGGAGGGGATCGTAAAGATCACAGCACCAGGTTCCATTATTGGGCAGAAAACTTTTAATTTGGGGGGAGGGAAAAACTCTTCCCCCTGACTCCAAAGAGAGAAGAGCGGGGCAGAGGGAAATTGTGCTACATCCAAAAGCCCCGCACGAAATGAGTAAAAACACGGAAAGCCCAACCTTGCCAAAGGATAGGGTGAGCCGCCCTGCGAAGCCAGGGACGCTGGCAGCAGCTGTGCCCCCTGCCCCGAGAAGAGAGAGCTGCCTGGGGGGGCCCCGGCGGGTGTCGTTATCAACAGCTTCCTGGATGAGAGAGTCAGGGCATCCTCGGAGCCGGGGCAGGGGAGCAGTTGGCGAGCAGCCTTGCTTGGTGCTCCTGGGTTGCACAATCTTTTCTTCAAGGGGCCACCAGTTTCCTAACGACCGTGGTGGAAGGAAGAAGGCGACCTTGGGGGAGGTGGGCAGGGACCCTTCCCAAGGTACAGGGGGCCGAAACCTTTTAAAGGTCTGAGAAACGCTCAGAAGAGGCTCTGGCAGAGGCCTCCCTTGAGTCAGCCAACGGTGCGGAGCAGCCGACAGACCCCCCCCAGGTTCTCTCCTTGGGGCCGGCTTCAGTGAAAGCAGCGTTGGCCTTCCTGGGAACTGGGTTTCCTGCTCTGGTCCCTCTTGTGGGGCTGGTGCCTGTGGAGAGGAAGGAGGGAAGAGGGGAAACTGCCGTGGTTCAGTGGCAACAAATGGTGTGTCTGTTGTCCCTCCTTCCCAACCCTGTGCTGGAAGCTTATAAAATCAGAATCTCTCCACCCCTGAATCTCTCATAGTAGCCATCATGGGCTCCTCCTCCTCCTCCTCCTCCTCCTCGCCCGTGGCTCAGTGACAGGAGTGGGATGGGTGGTGGTCAGGCCACACTGAAGCCTGGAATGTTTTACTGGCCCCTGGTTTCCTCTGAGAAAAACCCAGAGGGTCTTAGGGGAGCACGTGTTCCTGGCCCCCTCCCCTCCCTCCCTCCCTCCCTCCCTCAGCCTCAGCCTGCCTGAGCCCCTCCCTCCGCCGGCCACTGTGCCTCCCTTTGAGCTCAGCCCCCCTGATCGCCCCAGCCCTTCCCCATTCTCCGCTCAGCTGCCTCTGGCCTCACGTGGTTCCTGGTTTCCATTTCAGAACAAGTTTTTATGGAGGGGAATTCTGAAAGTTTACCCTTATTTTAAAAAGACATTCCGGAACCCTTTGCTCTAAAACAGGGGTCTCCAACCTTGGCGATTTTGCTGGCTGGGGAATTCTGGGAGTTGAAGTCCACCATGCTTAAAGGTGCCAGAGTTGGAGACCCCTGCTCTAAAATGTGCCAGTGCTTGAGAAGGTCTGTGAAGCAGCCCCCGGTCCAGATGGAAAGGCCTGAGTTCCCTGTTAAGCCCAATGAAACACGGCTGCCAGAGTCTCTGCCGTTTCTGTTCAGAGTGCCCTGGCTCCGTGTGTGTGTGTGTGTGTGTGTGTGTGTGTTTGTGTCGTGTTGTGTCCGTCCATCTTGTCATCCCCCCAACTATTCTGCCTGCCTAACGTGACTCCCTTGGCATTGCAGCCGGATCTGGGACACGGCTTCCGGCCAGTGCTTGAAAACGTTGATTGGTGAGTTGGCTCCTCTCCCAAAGGGAATCATTGGCTCAGGCAAATCCTCCTTTCACCACGTGGTCCTGAAACAGGCCTCTCTTTCATTCTCCCTTTCAGATGACGACAATCCGCCTGTGTCATTTGTGAAATTCTCTCCAAATGGCAAATACATTCTAGCAGCAACTCTGGATAAGTAAGAGCTGAAGAATCCTGACTTTCCAAAGAAAATGGGGGGGGGGGCGAGGGAGGGGGGGAAGGGCTGTCCCAGGGGAGGGGGGGGGGAGGGTCCCCCTGGGGTTCTAGGTTTCCTAGGGGGGAAAACCCGGGGGGCCGGGTTGCCCCCCCCCCCCCCCCCAAAACCTCCAAAAGTTTTTGCCAAACTCTAAAAGTGTCAGAAAGGGAACGATTTTAAATCCATGACTGGAGAATAATAGTTTTTAAAATGGCTTCAGCTTTTTTTTCTTGGCGCTGCCTGGTCCCCCTTGAGGAGCAGCCCCTGGCCCAAACTCCCCTGCGGGCCGCAAAGAGGCCTCGGCCTGCAGCTCTCTCCCCTCGGGCAATTTGGGGAGTCCTCCCGGCTTCATTTCTCCCTTTATTTTTCCAACAACGCTTTTATTTTGCTTCTACTTCCATTTAGGGGTAGCAGCCTAGGACCCCCCAAAGTATGAAGGGGCTAGGTAAAGAATAAACTCCCCCCCCCCCAAATATATATATATATATATATATTCAGGTGTGGTTTTAAAACACTTTCAAGAAGGGGAAAAACGGATGGTGTGAACCAACAGGTAGATACAGGCAAGAATATGAGAGAAATAGTCCCTTCCGGGCTGGTGGGGAGCAAAGGAAGACGGGCCCCAAGAGAGCTTGGGGGAATTGTGGTGGGTCCCTCCGTGGACCTTTCTAACCAGAGTCTTTCCTTCCCTCCAGCACTCTCAAGCTTTGGGACTACAGCAAAGGGAAGGTGAGTGCCTGTGTTTAACCCAGAAGAGGCTCCCCTAAATCCCCGGAAAGCTTGCTTGGCCCCGGGCCCTCGGTTCCTCCTGCAGAGGCGAGTTGTGCTCTCTCTCCTCAGTGGGAGGGATGGATTAAGCCGTCTCAGACTAACCACGCCGACTGCTGACTTCCCACAATAGAAGCTTAGTTCAACCGTCCCTTGAAATCAATGCAGCCTGGCAAATAGCCTCCAGCTTCCAAATATTCCCGGACCACTAAAATTCAGGAGACAGCAGAGTTGAGGAGGGTGCAGGCATTAAATCCGGGGCAGAAGTTTCCCCTTGGCCTTTCAGGTAAGAGGGCCTTCCCCTGCCTGGGCTCTCCCGCCGAGGTGTGACAGGTGGCTCTGGCCTTCTCTCTCTTCCAGTGCCTCAAGACCTACACAGGCCACAAGAACGAGAAGTATTGCATCTTTGCCAACTTTTCAGTTACTGGCGGGAAGGTGAGGATCTCTCAGTTCTGAGTTGCACGGGAGGAACCCGTCTCTCTCATCGGTGCAAAGGCCACCGGAGTTGAGATTGAACGGGCAGCATTCGAATTCCGGGGCAGGGCCTGGGTGAGGGGACAAGGTCAAGTAAGGCGGCAGCAGCAGCGCCTCTCCCGGGAACAGGATCTAAGGCAGGCGTCCTCAAACTTGGTGACTCCAATTCAACTCCCAGAATTCCCCTAGCCTAGCTGGCTGGGGAATTCTGGGAGCTGAAGTCCACAAGTCTTAAAAGTGGCCAAGTTTGAGGACTCCTGATCTAAGGGCTGGCGCCAGGTCTGACGTGAGAAGGCTTGCCACATCAAGTGGCAGCCATGGAGCGGCGCCTGGCGGGGCGTAGTAGTGGCAGGCTGTCGACTTTGAGGCATGGAGGCTGCTGCCTTCCTTAGGATGCTCCTCCCCCAAGATGAGACTTACTGAGGTCTTGATATTTTGGGAAACTGGCTCTGGGGCTCCCATTTCCGATAGTAGTTGGTGGGAAGGAGGAGTGTGAGAAGCGGCCCCGTCCGGCGGGATCTCTGCCTGTCCGCCTGGGCCAGCCATGCTCGCCCCGCTCCTCTCCTGAAGGCCTTTCTTCCCTTTAGTGGATCGTGTCTGGTTCGGAGGACAACCTGGTTTACATTTGGAACCTCCAAACGAAAGAGATTGTACAGAAGCTGCAAGGGCACACAGGTAGGAGCGCTCGGGCTGCCTGAAAAGTGGCTGGGAATGCGATGGAGGCTGCACGGGGCCCCCACTTGGGCTATCGGCGCCTGGCCGGAACGAGCTCTGCGGCTTTGGGGGATGGGCCTTTTCGGCTTCATGCCCAGCACAGACTTCAAGAGGCCTGTCTGGACCTGCTGCCGCAGCCTGGAACTTTGGGGGCCCAATCCTGCTTAAGGAATCCATCTTCCGCCCTGGAGGGAGGGATTGCAGGGCCTTCGTGGGCTTGGCTCCCATGGCTGGGATTCTCCCTGCCGTAAAGCTGCAAACAACCCAAGGGGTCTCCTTGGCCCTTGGGCTGGGTGGGAATATTGGGGGGGGTCCCTCGTAGTTGTGCCTGCCCCTCCCCCATCCCGGATCCAGGACTGTTGACGCCGGATCTGAGTATAGCGTCCCTGCTGATAAAGACAGAGGTGGTGCTGTGGGCCTTCGTTGAGCAGGAGCCTGAGAACACAATGCCCCTGGCCCTCAAAAGTAACACCCTTGCGGGGACTGTCCAGTTGCAACTGCCAGTCTTGGCCAGACTGGCTCCTTGGTGGCTGTGCAGCCCCCCCCCCCCCTCCTGGCCAGGGGGAGGGAAAGTGGCTCCCACTGGCAAAGCTGCTGCGGGGTGCCCACCTGTCGTGGTTCTTTGCCCCCGGGGCCTCTGGCCATGGCAGGGAAGCTAATGCCAGCCAAGGAAGAACCCAGCCCTTCACGGCTAAGGGTGGAGGTGGGCGGTGCCCTTCCTCAGGGCTCCTTGGGTTGGCAGCCCCGAGTGGGCTTCCCCTCCCGCGGAGCCAGGCAGGTGCCGGCTGGTAACGGTGGGCATCTTGGTCCCTCTTTTCCCAACAGACGTCGTGATCTCCACGGCTTGCCACCCGACCGAAAACATCATTGCCTCTGCAGCCCTAGAGAACGACAAGACGATTAAACTGTGGAAGAGTGACTGTTAAGTGCTTTGGGCACCGGCATCCCGTGGAGACTGTTGGGGGTGGGGCTGTCCATAGAATTGGAGGGTATTTCGTGTTTGTGTTTTTTTAAAAAAGGAAAGGAGAAGGAAAACTACCCACATTTCACAGCCGCAGTAGCAGGAAACCCAGAGCGAGGTTAAGAGGGGCAGCCTCGGCTGGCGGGAGAAGCAAAGCGCCTGGCCCTCGGGCGGCTTTCCCAGAGAAGGCGGGTCCCCCTGCTTGGAGTGGGGGGGCGGTGTTCGGTTCCCCCGCATCGAGAGAGAATCTTATCAGGCTCTTATCTAAGGCCCAGCCCTTCAGCGGAAGAGCCCGGGGGTTATCGATAGGCCTCCTGAGGGAATATTTTCATGGCGACCAAATCCATGTGCCCCGTTGTGGTCCCTTCCCTGTTTTCCAGAGCCTTCCCGCCTGCTGTGACGCGCTCTGATGGATGCTATTGCGGTGAAAATCTTCCAAGGCTTTTTTTCCCCCTCTTGTCCTCCCCC